GTCAGTCGAGCAAATCAAGTAAAATAGAGAACAGGGTAGAAGTTGATTGAATGAAAAGAATCCTAAACTGAGCTAAATTTTAAACATGTTAACAATCAAAAACAACATATGCAGTACTTTGACATCTAATTAAAATAATCATCTTCTAATAAAAAAATAATAATTTGTCATATATTATACTTTCATACATGATAACATGAAAACATAGTAGCAAGAAGCAAACGTAGCAATTTTAGAAAATTGAAAAATGGTTGGTAAAATGCAATACTTTAATCTGTTTATAACATGATAAAGACGTTAGGCTTTCACTTCCTCTTAAAACTCCGTAAGTTAAGCCTACCCTACTGTATTGTGATACTGGGACATTGTAGAATACCCAGAAATGTCTTGATTGATTGATTTATTTATGGTTCAGCTTTGTATAGATATCGAAGATTATGAATGCTAATTTGTCCCTACTAGCTATCAGAGGATCAGAGCAACTCCTATAAAATGTGACCTTTTAAGTCTGGCCTAACTGTGACGATATCACATATGTTTATCACGAGAAACGAAACTGAAAATATTGAAACCATGCCATAGATCAGTAGGAATTTAAAATACCTTGAATAAACTTAGATGTATGTTTGATGTTTGACCGGAGCGATTGTTTTTAACCATGTTACATTGTACAAGAATCAATCTACACCGTAGTTGCTATTCTGACATGTGAATTGGGGCAGGTGTTGATATGCCCATCTCTCCATCATTAACTCTAAGTATCAATCCAAAAGACGAATGTGAAGGAAAAGGGCACATAATTTGAAACTCATTGCCATTTACATTGAATAGTGTCTCTTAAAACGATAATCAGTCAAAATATTCACTAACACTTAAGTTGAAGAAAAAGCAAATAACCCTCGAGAGTGTCTCTTTTAATCATTATCAATAGCTATCATACAGATTTATTTGTTTTGATGTTGCGGTTTGTAAGTGTATCAATGGTAAAGGGTATTGTTCATAAAAAGATTAATAGGAAATTAACAAGTTAGAATCATCAGTTACAAGACTTTGATATTCAATGAACGCTTCACCTGTTCCCACGATATTTAGTTATTATATTCAATTCAAATAACACTAACACTTTAAACTATCAACTATAAATTCTATTTTTATTACAATGAGTACAAGTGTTTTAAAATATCAAAATCAAATAAACTAAACTGTAAGAGGTCTATAAATTGCAGTTTGTGTTAACAATGAGTCGATGCCAACATAATTAATGGTAAAAATATCATACAAGATACTTCTTTTCTTGTACATCGGCATGAACAATTACTTATAAAAAGCATAAAACTTTCCAGAAATAGAGCATAAAAATGTGAAATAGAGAAACAATACCACCAAGACAAAGCTGTCGTGGGAGTATTTTTGTTCTTTTTTTTATTCCATAGCATGATAATTTAATCTATAATCATGAAAGTTATTAGAACAATAGTAAAAGATATAATTAGAACCTGTGGGATACATTATATTCAGTATATATTACAATGCAACTTTTGTATTATTTGAATTCATTTTAAGTAATGAATATTATAACGAATTAATCTTATTTTCTACGATAAAAAACTAAATGTGATTGTAGGATATAAAAAATGTATATAAGAAGATTGTTTTTATTTATCAATTGTTAACTAAATAACTCGCGGTTTGAGAATCAACCTTTCAGCTTTATCTTATAATCGGATTTATAGATTTACACTATACTCAAACATATTCTACAATATTTATAGAAAAGACGGATCAAGTTAAATCAATTCACTTACAAGCAAATCTGTATATTCATCTTTCATCAATTGAAATTCGTCTTAAGAATTTAAAAAACCAAGAAAGTTATTTTCTGATAATTCTGATGTGTAGTATTTGTCAGTTTTTCTAGAATGGGGATAAAAAGAGGATAAAAATTAATCTGATTTGTTATAAAAGTGACACGATGATATGAAATTGTCAAATAATCGAAGACTTACAATATTTTGATAATGTTGTGACAGATTAACAAAAAGTCAACATTCTTTAGTGAACTAGGGAATATCTTTGGCAACATCTTTCAAGAATAAAAATGATATCGAGCCTATCATACAATAATCCAATAGACAGATAATAAACAGGCCAATTATACGTATCTATTTTCTCTGAAATATATACACACAATAGGCCTACGTTTGTATGTTGTATCTCTTGCCAATCTTTTCCAAAATGTTATCACAGCCATTTCTTTTCGTATTGTTATTTTAATTCTATGCCTAGATATTGTTGCATTTTGTTAAATTTTTCTTTTATCTTATTATTTCATTTCTTCAACGTAGGCCTAACCCAAATCTTGCATTTATTTCTCCTTTTTTCAATCATGTTGCAATCATTCTTTTGCTTTTATACAATTTATATTTCTTTCATATTATCATAAAGTAGCAATATGGTTATTGTGCATCTACGTATTTAATGAAATGTTGACTGTTAAAAACATCTGAGTTATAATTATAAATATGTGACCATTATTTTCATTGCATATAAAATTGTCCATACATCAATTGAGTTTAAAAGTTAATTGTTGCTACATTTCGTTTAATTACCGTATAATTTGTATTATGGCTATACTTTATCCAAATAATAATTGTATAGGTCAAAAGATCAGAGAAACATTATCATTTCTGCCTGTTGTCAACAAATTGCCTAACCTTTTGACTTAGTATCAACAACATTTAAAAGTCATGGGTTAACATTAACATGCGGGATGGAAACGCCAGTATGGTCAGGGCTTTATGGAAACGAACAATGGTCATTTTGGTTAAGAGTATAAAATGACCACTAAATCTGCAATTATTTTAATCTTTAATAAAATAGAACAATTAGTGTCTAAAATTGAAGAAGTTCTATTTAATTACTGTTGCATTTTGTTATTACGTTTCGAATCATAAAGGATATTAAGTCTAAACTATTCTCTCTTGTAATTCTAAGGTACCTAGCCTTGACACTATTGCATTTAATGTTGAAATTAATAAGTTGTTTTTGTATTGAAATGTTGAATCTAGTTTTATCAGTTTTTATAAAACTGTTAATATTTCAACAAGATGAATTATATGATTTCACAAGTCTTATTGTGACCAAGGCAGCATAAAAATGTAAAATCAGCACATACTATTGTGACAACTGGTAAAAGATCACCCTAAATTATCACAGAAATTAAATTTTACAAGAACACCAAGTTTAGAATTTTCTTAGAACAACATTTTCAAATCTCTTCTCATTTTATGTCTGTTAATGTTGATTCTATGCCAGTGTCCAGATCGGCCCTTGACTTTTCTTTCTTGTTGTTTCCTATGATGAAATCTGACAAGAACAATGAAAGACAAACTGTGGTTTTCTTTTCGTTTATTGTCCATAGTTTGTATAACAACAATAAAGTCGAGGAGAGGCAATGACAGTTTTAATGTGTACAAACTTTGAAAAATATCCGACATTGTTCTCATTGTAACGACCTTTCTTATGCTCGTCTTTGACAATATAAAAAGATCACATGGTTTTAAAAGTTAAGCATCTGTCCAAGTAGACTCTATTTAATGGATTCAAATGAAAGGCAACACAAACAAGGTAGTATATAAATGGCAGAAATGAAGGTTTTCACTGAAGTTGGAAATGAGCTCAGCAGGATATCTAAAGTCATTATAAACCCACTGAGACATTCTATTACACACAGTTTTATCTCATTTTAAAACATCAAAAAATTTCACTGAATCAACTCTCAAGAGTTATTCTCAAATACAAATAAATAGAAAAAAAAAACAGGTCTATATTCCCATTTAATGAATGGTCAGGCACGCCTGTAGATTTCAAAATTAAAGAAAACTCACTTCTAACAGGTTTTTACGACAAATTTTCATAAAGAGAAAGTTAATGTACTTCAGAATGTACTCGGAAATACAAGAACGGGTTTTCGTTCATCGTCTAGTAGGCTGCGGGTGAACTTTTTCTGCTTAGAAAAGCAAGTGATACCAGTCATACATATCAGTCAATGCTGTAAAGATTTGATCATAATCTGGGAAACCTTTCGCCGGACATTACAATTGCAGGACAAAATGGTTGCTAAAACCTAACCAAGGTGACACATTTCAAAATTTAAAACAATTTGGTTTCAAATATAAAAAAAAAAGTATTCTTTATGATAATGATCAATTACAAAGTCAAGAACATTTTCTTTTATTTTCATAAATACGATGGTTATTTCATTCATGTAGTTTTTTGAGAACATCGAACCAAAAGTGAATTTCATTACAAGGGAAATAAACAAGTAAGATTTAGGCAAACTTCAGACTACAATGGCCTTCTATTAGACTTCGGAATTCCAGTATTTCTTCGAATGGAGAAAATTGTCTTTCTTAGAATAGATTAAATGCGGTTTCGAAATTAAATGGACAGATGCGCAATTTTTCTTTTACAACACATACAGGAATTTTTGCTTTTACCTAAGCCAATCAAATCCATGTGTGTCCAGAATCATCTCAAAAAGATGAGTTGTCTTTTTTTGAGACACTGCATATATAGTAAATATATCTATAGAAATATAAAGTTTTGTACATTTCTTGTACTACTGAAGACAATTATTTACATATATTCAAGACTCAAATCAACACACCATTGCGCATCTGGCCCTTTAAATGCAAGCAGGATTAGGATTCTAGTGGTTTATGTAATATCAAAATTATTATAATTTAAGCGCATTTTATGATTTTTAAATTCGTAAATAATTATCTCTTCATTGATTGTTTTTCGAATTTTTGTTCTTTGCTTTTTAATTACAATTAAATTAAGTGCCACATTTATGGATTCTCGATTGACATTTAATTAGAAGGAAAATAGAGTTGGTTGTAGACACACAAAAAACAGATTCAATAAATAACTAAAAGAAATATTACTAATCAACAAATCTTTGGTATTCAGTTGGTGAAACAAGGAATTTTCTGTCAGTATTTTTTAGTACTGTACTCTACTTCGTGAAACAAGGAATTTTCTTTCAGTATTTTTTAGTACTGTACTCTACTTCGTGAAACAAGGAATTTTCTTTCAGTATTTTTTGGTACTGTACTCTACTTACTGAAACAAGGAATTTTCTTTCAGTATTTTTTGGTACTGTACTCTACTTCGTGAAACAAGGAATTTTCTTTCATTATTTTTTGGTACTGTACTCCACTTCGTGAAACAAGGAATTTTCTTTCAGTATTTTTTGGTACTGTACTCTACTTACTGAAACAAGGAATTTTCTTTCAGTATTTTTTGGTACTGTACTCTACTTCGTGAAACAAGGAATTTTCTTTCATTATTTTTTGGTACTGTACTCCACTTCGTGAAACAAGGAATTTTCTTTCAGTATTTTTTGGTACTGTACTCTACTTCGTGAAACAAGGAATTTTCTTTCAGTATTTTTTGGTACTGTACTCTACTAAGTGAAACAAGGAATTTTCTTTCAGTTTTTTTGGTACTGTACTCTACTTACTGAAACAAGGAATTTTCTTTCAGTTTTTTTGGTACTGTACTCTACTTAGTGAAACATGGAATTTCCTTTCAGTATTTTAGGTATTGTACTCTACTTAGTGAAACAAGGGATTTTCTTTCAGTATTTTTGGTACTGTACTCTACTTACATATCACATTTACTGAAAATCAGTTAAAAAGTAAAGAAATTAATTGCCTTTTTAATGATCACAACAATTGGGGTTAAATTGGAAATTGTCCCAACTTCTTATTTTAATTTACATACCTAGTCTTACTAATATAGATTCAAAACTTTAGAATTTTATGTCTATGTCCATACAGAGAGTTGTGGGCATATTAAAACAATGAATATTATGTACAAAATATCACAGTCCCAATAAAAAATACAACAAAAATATGTCTACTATAATATTTCATAGCCATAGTAAATTGAAAGATTGTCAGTAATGAAATAACAGTCTATAGAATATCTTTAAGAGTTATATAACTTCTTAATGCAGAAGGAAGATGAAGGAGCAGGGCTTTAACACCAACTTTGGAGCCAAACAATTTGCGAAAGAAATCCCTTGATATTGTAACCAGCCTCGGTGGGGTATTATAATGATAAATTAGTAAATCATGCAAGTCATGATTATTCAGCAGATTTTTTGGAAAAGATTCAGTTTCCTTCAACCAGTTCTCCTCATATATATTGTACCCAGCTGCCAACAATAACATTGCCATTTCAGAATATCCTTTATCAGCTGCTACCCATAGGGGAGATTTAGGTTTATCATAGAGACAAACCACCCCCATTACCTGGGCATGTTGATCTATTCCTACAGATGGTGTTTCTAATGTTACATTCTGTTTGATCAACAACTTCACAACATCAATAGAATTTGAATATACTGCATTCCATAATGGTGTCACATCCAATCGATTTTTTATATCAGCTTGGGCACCATTACGCAATAGAAATCTAACAGAATCACTATCCCCATTGTAAGCAGCATAATGGATTGCTGTATCTAAATCTTTATCTTGAGTGTTAACATCACAGCCTAATGGTAAAAGAAGCTCTAAAATATGGAGATGTGTACCATGAGCAGCCAGTGTAAATGGTGTATTCTTATCTATTGTTTGCATCTCAGGTTTGGCACCAAAATCTAACAAAATTTTTACCGTTTCTAAGAAACCATTCCAGGCAGATATATGAAGAGCAGTGTATTCTTCTTTATTTTTTGAATGAATATCAGCCTTATGATTTAATAATAACAATACAACTTCTACCATATCATCTGACTTACTGTAAGACGAAATGAGTAAAGGGGAATAACCATCCTTTGTATAGAGATTTGGGTCAGCTCCATTTTCTAAAAGCATTTTAACAATTTGCTTGGCTTCTGAAAAAAAACATGAAAAAATGAGATAAGTAAAGGGGAACAACTATAATTTATAGAAATTTGGGTAGATTTTACATTGCAATAGGTAAACAAAATGAAGATGAAATAGACAAAGAATGAAAACTTTTCTGCACACTTACCATTATGTACAGCAATATGCAAAGGACTTTCACCTTGACCTTCAGTTATATTAATATCAGCACCATTTTCTATTAAAACTTTTACTAACTTATCATCCTCTCCTAATACAGCATGGTGTAAAGGCGTAAAGCCAGTTTGATCAACATTGTTTGGATTGGCTCCTTTACTAACCAATAATGGTATTAAGCTTCTTTTTTTCACTCTTACAGCTATGGTTAAGATAGTTTCTGAACGCAAATTACCAGCATTGATATCAATGGCTGGTTCATTGAGAAGAATGTCAAACAATTCTTTTTTCTGTGTTAGCATAGCTTCCATTAAAGGTGTGTTGCATTCATATCTAGAGGTTTGATTTACATCTGCTCCATTTTGAATCAAATACTTTACTAACTGTACATTGTTGGTCATTATTGCCAAAAATAATGGTGAAAATTTGTCCCATGCAGTTACTTCATTGATGTTGCAACCTTGGGTCAAAAGATATTCCACCACTTCATCATTTCCCACTACAACAGCAACGTGGAGCAGCTTCTTTTTGACACTTTTTTGAGCAAATGTTGAAGGTTGAATAATATTATAACATCTACACTGCCCATCCTGTATCCATGTATATACCATATTATATATAGCGTCTGTGGGATCTGTATTGCGAAATGGATGTTGCTCAAATAAATTTATACAAGTACAACGGGATCTTACATCTATAAAAAAAATAAAAAAAATTTTATCCTTGGATGTAACTGAATAGCTGGTACTAACACAACTGACAGATTGGATCCAATTAACTCACTGAAAATGACAGTTAAGCTTATATGACATGTGTTACCTGTATCATTTGTAAGTATTGTATAATATCAGTCTTTTTTCCTCTTTTCTATTTCTTTGGTCATCATTTCATATGTATTAAATTTATTCACAAAGTAAAATTATACTATGAATTACATTTGTATAAGATAATGTTGACCTATAATCAGGCTTTAGAGGTAAGTTTTTGATTAATTGTAGGGGAATTAGGAGTCAAAATCTTATTCTGAAAGGTGATGTGGCCCATAACATTGAAGGTCCACACATTTTGCTCAATATGCAGAATGATTATAAGGGCTGAAGATGTAAATTATACAAATAGGGCCACAGATTGCTTTCATACAGATATATTAATAGTAATAGAGAAAATATAAAACATACTGATAATAATTGGTCTATCTAATAAATGATGATATTGTTGTAATATTGATAGTTGGTTTTCTGGTTTCTCTACAATAATCCTATAGAGTTCTAGTAATAATCTTTTATCTTCTTCATCATCTAAAAGACAATCAGTATATAAAAAAAAATTTATCCTAGTCTTATAAAGCCTGCTCTTTATACTACTTTAGACTTTAGATGAAATGTAGAATATGTCAATGAGTTAGTTCCCTTTAATGTATTAATAAAATATTGTTTATAAAAAAAAAAGAGTTTATACAATTCAAGGCTTCAGTCCATTACTACCAATATTTAGGAAACGCTTTGATGACCACTTGAAGCTGGTGTGGCTAGGTGAGTTGTACACTACTTACTTTGCAGTATTCCATCTTCAACGTTGCGCCTCTCTTCCATTTTCTTAAAATTGTCTACTAAAAAACAATGTAAAAATTAAAATTTCAGCTAAATTTGGGAAATTTAAGATTAAACTGTTAAAGTTGCTGGACGGAACATGTGTGAAATGACTAAAGTCTTAAAAATCCATATTCAGAAGATTTAGGCCCATTCCAATAACTTACAAGCAGGTCCAGCAATGTGATTTCAGTGATAATAATAACATATTAAATCACAATGTCATTGATTTGCATTGTAAATAAAAACGGGAAATATCTGAATAACATTTTATTCTAATAAAGGTCAATTCTAATTAATTGAAGATCTATTGTATTTGGCTAACCCCTAGTGAGAAATGCTGAAAAATGTCGAACTGCGATTTAGAAATAAATTTCTCACAGGTCGTGATAGTTTAGTACAAATAGAATATCATGGATAAGCTTTATCACATCTTAAAGTTTTGTCAGACTTTTGTAAAGAATTCTTGGGGAAAAGTGAAATCTTTCATTCATTTACAATTTTATTTTGAGAATAAATTTATCATCAGTCAGCTCCTGTTCAGTTTCGTTTGTAAACAAACCTATTCGATTGCTATTCCATTCGCAATATTTTCTGTTCCGGTTTCGTACACAAATGAGCCAGTAAAAAAAATCGAAACGCAAATCTATAATAACATGAACCAGTGCAAGGTCAGTTCGGTACAAGTTTTATGTACGTTATCTGATAATTGGTTTTAATATAGGATGCCTAGGTGAATCATATAGGTCATCTGAAGATTGATTTTAATGGAGGATTATAGTCTGCAAGGCCTATAAAGGTTGTAATTTGAAAGTTTAGAAACTTGTCTGCAAATCATATGATCCTTAACTGACCCCTGTTATCACCCACAGCCACCTTATGAATATTTTGAGCAGCAATAATGCTAACCGACTAGCAACATGGATTAAGGAAGAAGTGAGTCCAATCCAGGACCCCACTAGGCTACTGACATCTACAAGATCACTCAGATAGATGCAGTGCTGCTTGATTTCTCCAAAATATTTCACGAGGTTGCTCCACAAGCTACAGCACTATGATGTAAGAGATTGCTTGTTGAAATGGATTCGGAGTTTCCTGTCTGGCAGAACAAAGCAAGTCTTAGTTGATGGCCATTATTTCTCTCCAACCAATGATCAATGATCTCAACTAGACTGTTCGCAGACGACTGCCTGTTCTATATTACCATCACTACATAAGCTGACACGAACTCTGGGAATCATACTACCTTATGCACTTCAATCCAGACAGGTGCAAGATCATCCGCATTACCGCAAAACGGAAACAAAGCATCACCCCATACTACATCCATGGGAAGGAGATAGCTACATTGGAGTCCATATTTCCAGCCCCTGTCATGGAACAATCATATCGACTGTAAGAAGGCTAATAAAGTAATAATACTATCGCCTTCTTGAAAAGGAACCTCCCATCTTGCCCTACTTCCATTAAGGACAAATGCTACAAGACAGTCTGGGACCCTCAAACCAAAAATAACATTGATAAACTTGAAGCGGTGCAATGAAGAGCAGCCATTTGCGTGACAAATAACCAGTAGTGTCACAGCGATGCTAGAACGGAGAACCTGTACCAACACAGATTAAGATCCAAGGCCACAATGATGTACCGGGTTGTCCCGAACTGCCTCCCCGTTTCAGCCAAAGAGGAGCTGCAACGAGGGTACATCAACAGCACCAACCACAGACCAGAAATCGTACTTTCCTACAACTATCAAGATATGAAACAAGCTGCCAGAGGAAATGTGGACGTATATTGCCGTCGCCCCTGTCCGCCTGTCCGTCCACATTTTTTGTATGCACTAGAAAGGTTACAATTTTTATCCGATCTTGAAACTTAGTCTGTATGTATATATTGATGAGATTTCGGTATAAATTGGATGAGAAAGTTCAGAGTTCTTGCCTTTGACTTAAAAAAAAATTGGTAATAAGAGGATGAACGGTTTCTGAGTTATTACTGTTGTGTGTACGTCGATGAGACCTTGTTCATGTTTTAATCTGACAGGACAGCGGCATTAGCCTGCTCTTTTGCGATTTCCAACTTTTTTAAAAAGTGCTTTAGAGTTGATATCAATATCATGACAATAGATAGCCTACTATGTAAAATAAAATTAATGTACTGTGTATTTCAACGCTGCATACATTAATGTATGAGGATTGAATTTTTTGACGCTTTGGACCATTCTAACCCAAATAAAAATTCATATACTATAGGGGGAAAATATAGCAGGTCACTTGAAGTGATAAAGTAATTATCTGTTTCCTATTTGAGTGCGGAACATAATCAAAATCATTTATGAGTGATTCAGTAAAATAACGTATTCAATAAATGAATAATATGTCATAATACTTATTGTGATATGTATCTATAGAATTAGTAATGACGAATTGAATCTGTAATGCTTAATTGTGGAGATAATTGATAAACCTTTTAACAAATTGAAGCATTATTGTCCTGTTGATGATGTTAGGTCTGAGTAAAGTTGACTATCAATTAACAATATCGATCTGTTTTTATTGATTATTATATCACCAAAACCATCATCATTTCGATACAATGTTGTTCTATAGATGCAATTCACAGGCATAACAAAATGAACCATTTTAATCCGTTTTTAGCTTTTCTTGAGGAAACGAGTATTCATGGAGGAAAACATGTATCAAATTCATCAAGATCTATTCTAAGGAGGTAAGATTTGTACATGTTTTAAATAGAAGGAGTAGACCAAAGCTTTGACAAATGAAAGACCTTCCATGCCAAGCTGTACCATGTTAAAAACTCATAATTTCTATGTTTCTGAGAGGGATTTGTGTTTTTTGTTCAGATGTATACATTTATTTAGCAAAAATTCATCTTTTTATGATTTTTGATTGTGAAATTATGGTCTTAATTAAAAAGAATAAACCGTACTGAGTACTAATTCATATGAAATATTAAATTGTAGGTAGTCTCAAGAAAAGACGAGTCGTCAGTTTAACTTTCAAACGTGAATACTTTTGGACACACATTCGACTGCTCAAATTTCGACGGTGAGCTGTGAACACTATTACGATAAAACTAGCAAAATTAAGTCTATAGTAGTTGAACCACTGAACGAACCACATTGTTCTTATGCTTTATCACTGTTTCTTTTGTTTCAGGATAATCTGGGGTGTTTTTATATTTTCATCTCTTAGTGGTCTCCTCTACTCCTCCATTAGACTAGGTATAGAGCTGAGCAAATATTCCGTTAAAACTGTATATAAATTTGAATATAAAGATTTTCTGGAATTTCCAACATTAACAATTTGTAGTGCCTGCCCTATGGATATTTCTAAAATTAACCGCACTGATAAGAGAGTGGAAGCTGCTATCTGGACATTAAGTAAATGGGATTTAACAGCTGCTCCTTATAATATCAATGAAACTGTAAGTGTTGAATTTATAAATCAAGTTATTGATCAAATGTCAATTGATATGGAATCGTTATTTCTGAATATAAAGTGGAATGGCGAGGATTATAAAGCTGCAGATGTTTTGGAAGTGGCTAAGACATCCAATGATAGAAAATGTTTTGTATTTAATGGTAAAAACTATCAAGCTGTAAATGGTAGTTTTATATCAGAAGTAAGTGGTATGGAAGCAGGATTAGAGATGATAGTTGATATTAAACAAACCTATTGTCCTGGTGGTTATTTTGATACATCAGCGTTACAGGTATGTGATACAAATACTTTAAACATTATAGCTTTGTTGGTAATGGAAAATTTGAAATACACACCAAATCATCATTTATGTCAAGATGGTTGGACTATTCAAAATGGAGAATTGATCCTTAAGAAATGTTCCGTTTCGTGTTTTTAAACCATACCAAATTTGCCAAAAATGATCAGACGATAAATGCGTTAAAGATCTACTGGAATTATTGATGAAATTTGTTCTATTTCAGATCTATTTACACCCTCGTAATGATGATGACCCACCTAGATCACCTAAAGCTGTTTTATCGCCCGGTACAGCTTCTTTAATCGGTCTCAAGAAGTCTCAGGTATTTTTTTAATAAATACCTTCGTATACGTATCTACATAATATTGTACAATGAGTCCTTTAACAATCAACATGGTTTAAGCTTCCGAAGATACTTTTAAAAATAAAATCTGATATCAAGTCAAAAAACCTTAAGGCAATATCTCTGTTTATATTTTCAGACGGTTTATTTGCCTTACCCATACAAAGCAATTGGTGATAGATACTGTACGCAAGAGGCAAATTACAGTAAATCGAATTGTTTTAATGAATGTGTTATAACATTAGTTAGAGACTTATGCCCGTGTCTCCCCCCACTTACAGCTGCCGAGGAAGGTATGTGTCTTGCATCAAACGTAATTCTATTTAGATTTGCAAACGATGGAATCTGAACATCGAAAGTGTTTCTTAAGACGGACTCAGGTCAACAGGCACAGCAATGCCGTCTCGAAATAAGCCAAGCTAGCAAGTGAGTCCATCAAATTTTCAACTTTGGATGAATTCTTAGTTCTATTGTAGGACTTATTTATTGTAATGTGCTTCAATATGTTATTTTTTCAGCTTCTGTAAAAATTTCCTTATTGACTGAAGATTGTAATTCCCAGGAACTATTAAATTCACTTGTATGTTATGAAAAGCATATAGGTAAAGTAGTTTATACAAGTAGTTTAAGATAACAAAACGATGGTAAACAGTTGGTTGTTGCTGTTAGTAGTCTAGAGCAAAAGATGGGGAAAAAGGAATTTTCTGCAGTCTTAAGGGTCATATATTTTAGTGGTTGAGAGTTCTTTGCTTTTGGCATACAGCCTGACGTTTACGTTCTACTGAAACCTTAAAGTATAAATTTGAGGGCTTTTATACAGACTTTCATCCTATATCATGATTTCAACTCAGGACCTAGCCATAAAATCCTTTCCAGTTTATTTCTCTCACTGAGCACATATCTTAAACATTGTTGATAGGCCTAACGTCTCGTGTCTCATGTTGAACGGTTTACTTTTCAGTCAAATTGACACGCAAAGCACAGAAATCAGAAATATGTCACTGTCCAGATCCATGTACCGTTATCGAATATGAGACAGATTTATCATTTGGTTACTTTCCAACACGAGCTGATAGTCAACGTTTGGTTGATCTCGGAGTTGTACCTGACATATCATACCCACGGTCAGTTTATATTCCTTATGGATGCTTTGATATATTTAGATGCGGATTTTTATCACATTACACATTAAGCGACAACTCAACATACCATGTACCATGCTCTCTTCATTCTTACTGAAGCATAAAAGCTGTGCAGGTTAATGGCTCCGTTAAACTATTTATTCTGGCGGGTGTAACTTTTACCCTTCCCTAGCACCTTATGAGGCTCTGCGATTGGGATTATCGACTCGACATCCATTCAGACATTCCATAATAGCAAATTATGTTTCTTTGATATTCATTTCCCAATAATTCTTGTCCTGAAGTAATATGAATTTCCAGTGCCTCAATAGATATGAGATATATAATGAGTTTTTTTTACAGAGAAAATTTCCTAAAGTTCAATATGAATTATAATAGACTACTGGAGCATACCATTGAATATGTACCTGAATATAACTTGGAAACCTTTTTAGGTAAGAAATCCATTTTTTATTCAAATATACCAAATCTTTTCAAATTTAATACACACCCCCACATGGTGCAAAAAAATAGGACGTAAAACTCCATTCAATTCAATTATACTATTACGTCTACGTATTTGTATGATTTGGTATCATTCTTCGGGTTTATGCATTTTTTATGTTTTAGTAGTAAAGCGACAACTGCAATCCTAGACAGTTTCCGTAAAGCTGATCTGTCTCGGTGATAAATGGTAGATTTCGTTTTGTCTCATTGGGCGTGAGCCCTTAGTTCCTGAATTTCACAATTCTTTGTCATCTGATAGTAATATTGCGACCTGAACATAGTCTTTAGCTTTAAAGCCCTTGGGATATAATACTAACACGTACTTTGCATTAAATTCTATACTGTGACTAGCGGTTCACCAATGATACCCTATATTATAATTTTGGTTTAATTATGTCTTCGTTTTATTGACTGTGTTTACAAACATTTCTAGTAATGAACGACCCATCTCTGATGATTGTACTGCCAGAATTGCTTGGTCACGTCACAAACTTGACATAGTTCCGGTAGATCATGGCTGCCATAATGATTCATTACCGTGATTATGCAGAAAATAAACATAACATATTTCTTTGATTCTATGATAACAAATCAAATATTGGAATAATGACAATTCCATTTTTCTTTTCCCAGGTACTATCGGAGGTCATCTTGGTCTGTTTATTGGAGCCAGTGTACTATCCATTATAGAAATTATAGAATTATTGATATTAACATGTTGGACTAAAGTGATTAAAATATTTACACCTGCAGAGCATACGACCACTAAAGTCAAACCCATTAAAAATTAATGTGCGATACTTACGAATTGTGATTAGTTTTGCATTTTTATAAAATTGTACTTGTTCTTTAAATCTAGAATTAGCCACGACTCTTAGAGAATCATCGGGATTTCAATCATTTTATATCTTCTGATCAAGAAAATATATTAAAACTATCATGTTCCGATGATTGAGCCCTTTCGAAAATGCAAATGCAAGGAATGTTATGAAGTTGTAACAAAACTATAAAACTGTACGATTTTTTTTAGATACCCAAATAAGATATAAGAGGATACAACTTTATTTAGTTATACTTTTTATAGTAACGGTGGCCATACGGCCAAACCTATTTTTTATATATAATATAAATGTTGGTCAACTAATGTAATGATAAAATATTTGAGTCATATGATTACACCCAGTACACGGTAATATCCAAATCATCTGTGAAACTCATAGAGATAATTCATAAATATACTTTCAGTCCATACCAGTTCTGAATTTTAGATTCCTATGTAAGTCTGAAACACGACTTGAACAATTTTTGAAGCTTGGGTGATGGTTTCCCAATTCCTAAAAAGTACAACATTTTCCTTATTATTTTGAGCATATATTTTGACTCCAATATTTAATAATGTGATCTTTATCTTCAATTTCAAAACTCCACTCATGAGCAGTATAAGCTTCCAAAATAGGTTCAACTATGTCATTTTTTCCTACTTTGAGAATTAACAATCGTTCTCTATGGTCTCTTATATGGTCCAAAATACAAGATATTTCGGTTGTATTTTTAAATGCTGTTACAAGATAACTTTCAGTGGCAATAACAATGAAGGTACGACTCAGTCTCACATATTCAGAGTGATTAGAACAAACACTTTGGCCAAATTTTACATGTTCATCTTCCCAATACACTTCAAATCCAAAGGATTTTAGCAGTATTACAATGCGCCTTGCAAGGCTGCCATCCTCTCGAGCATATGACACATAAATATCAAACACATTTTGTAAACTGCCATTGTCATAGGTGAGAAATTTTGATTTCCTCAAGAGGATTTTTCGAAAGAACAATCTCACTATAGGGCTACTAGATCTTCGAATAATATAGTATGAAATTACCAACAAAATTACCGATATGGATATTATTAGATATTCCATCAAGAAAAACAGACTAATTTCAGAAAGAAAGGAATCAACAATAGAATAACAGGGTAGAACGGAATTATTTGGTGGATGTTTTAACCAGCATAGCTGAGCCAATGCCGACAGTCTATTCCGTGAGTAATGAGAAAAGTTATAGAATGGGTTTTGGAAAATATCCGGCGTTTTTGGTATTAATTCCATCACTAATGGATGCTTAAGGCCTGCTATAATCATCTTAAGTTGATAAAATCGTTTTTCAATGACCAGTTCATATGTGCCATATCCATTTTGAGCAATACATATATCGAACTTTAAGGAATATATCTTCATAAACCCATCATTAAGAACCTTTCTATCTAACATTGGATATTCACTAAAACTTCCAGATAAATACTGATAAAGGGAAATAAATAAGGAGCACGTTCCTTCGCCTACAGAATTAAAAGATACTCCATTTCGCAAGAGTTTTAAGGAAATATCACCCGGATCACTTATAGACTTGAATTCATAATACACAGATAAGACAGACCCTGGAATCAGTTCAAACCTTTTATTGTCAACAGGCTTCTCCAGTAGATGAAAGGTCTTTATTGAATCTCTCAAGCACCAATTTGGATTGTCATAGGTGGAATCCTTGTCCATAACGTCAACATCACATTGATAAAATGCACAAGAATAATGACCAAAATCAGACGATTTTATGGAATTGATGTTTAAAGTTGATTGTAAATGGGTATTTATTTTTTGTAATGATGTAACATTAATATTATTAGTTTGGTTGTATGATATAATATGATCACAATCTTTTACTATTTCTGTATTATTTACTCTCCATATAACATCACTAAAACACTCTAAATCACTTATCATTAGATCACAATATAATATCACATCTTCACCTTTATATCGTATCACGCCATCACTATCGTTATTCTCAACCGAAACATTAATAATATTATTTCTTAGTTGTGCTTCTATATTGGAATTTCTAAAGTTTACATAGAGCAAAGTGAAAATTGTTACACACGATACAATGTGTGACAATGCATATTGAAGACAAACTACAAAATATTCAAATTTAAGGTTATTTTTAGCAATATCCAGAATGATATTTCTCCAATTATCGATCTTTCTTTCATAATATATCCGACCAAGCCTCTTTAAACGAATCAAGCGATTGCCTATACCAGTAAATACATAGTTTATAATAGCAATTCTGAAGTTTCCTTTCATTCTTTCACATGTTTATCCAATCACGTTGCACTCTCAATTACCCCCCTGTTCTCATAACTGGCTAACAAAACGGAAGTCTAATGCACTACTACTAATGGAAAATCCCTGGTTATTTATAGTAACATAAGACATAAGAATTATGTGAAAAGTTGTGATGATAATACTTTACGTTATCAAACGTGTTGTTGTTTAAAAACGTGTTTGAGTTAACAATTTGAAACGCAGACAGGTAATATAACAATCAATACCATAGTGATTATAGTTGTATTATATGCAGTTCAAAGCATTAAAGTATATTTATTCAAGTGCGTTCGATCAGCGTATCTATTCGGACTACATCGTTCATTTCAATTTTATCAACTCTTGTTCCTATCAAATTTTCACAAAACCAAGTCATCATTTTTCTACATATCTTGAATTATTGAAGGGCCACAGCTCTTGGATAATAAGAAGCAGATTTTCAAGATGTTCATTAAAATAAACATAAAATAGTCTATATATAAAAACACTAACTTACAATGGAGATTGAATACTCGTATCTATTCGGATTAATGATCTACATCGCGCTGTTGTGTCTTATGCTGTATCCATTTTATCTACAGATTGGATTTAAACCCATATTTTACCTAATGCTATTTACACACTTTATTTACGGGCTTGGTATGTTATTTTTATGTCTCCTGGTCATTGGAAGTTACAATCAACTACGAACAACAGAAATAGGACAGCGGTTAGAAAACAGCATAATAAGAAATGATAATGTCAACTTTGAGGGCACAGATGGCATACAATACAGATATTTAGGTGAAAGTGTTTCATTCTATTGTAAAACTCAAGTTGCCATTTTAGAAGACGTGAGTGATATAGTTTGGACGCATGACGGTTTGGAAATAAACGCATCCTTTGATCGAATAAAATTCAATGATGAAATTATTGGGAAATATTCCAGTGTACTTATCAAAAATATTCTTCAAGTTGATTATGGTGTGTATTCTTGTCGTATTCAACCACATCGGACTAGAAATACTTCAAAAATAGTCATAAACAACGCATATTACCATTCATACCAAACTATCAGAACATTTTACTTGAAACGTTTTCAGCCCAAAATTGAAAGGTTGTTAGTACCCCCCGGAGGTATTTTGCAGCTAGATATCAGATACCATACAATACCAACAGACGAGAAATCTTCCATTCGATATACCATCAACCAAAAACCTATTAATATCAAAGATGACAGAACGTTATATACTAAATGTTCATTCTTTGTATACCAATACTGGTTACTGTTTCAGTATGGGTATTTCCTAAATCAGCTCGAGAATAGCTCTAAAGGTAATGATCTTCATGGCATTAAAATCATTCAAGCCAAAACGAACTATTGTGTGAACGAGGAATTTTATGGTACGTACAAATTTTATATACAGAGTAATATAGTTGAGAATTCAACTGGACGCACGAAACTTGTTGATTTTGAGTATCCAGTAACATACGAAGTGGTACCTAGAAGACCAAATCTATTTGATTCAGACTATTTCATGACTCCAAGTATTGTAACAGTCACCAATGAAACGTCCCAATGCTGGTTAAATGCAACATTTAACTATATGGAATATTGTGAGGATATTTTAGATATGTTTAAATCTGTTCCTGCTCTGTTTTTCACTTTGGAAATCATTTTATTTATTCCGATGTTATTCATTGCTTACGAATGCTTCCAATGTTACATTTATTTTCTTAATATATTCGTAAAGTGGTTCTATGTCTACATGAAACTGGAGACACCATTTCAAATTATCAAACAAAGCCGAAAGACTAAATTCCTTGCACAGACAAATATTGATTATGCGATCAAAGAAAGGGAATTAATTCAGATATATGTATCGTTTGTCGAAAGTGATAGAAAGGAGATCAGGAAACTAATAAAAATTTTGGAAAACATTTTACAATGCGAGGAGTTATCGGAAATGAATGTTACAAATCAAAAAGGGCCAGCTTTTGAAACATCAGACAATCTTGAAGATAATGGTGATTTGCATGATGACAATTTCGACAACCCCACTGTGAAAAAACATGTTTTTACAAGAGATGATGGTGGGCCAGGTCGTTCAGATATAGGCTCAGCTGAAAAATATATAGATAGATGTAATGTATTTATCATATACGCCAGTGATGATTATATAAATACTTGTATGGGTATACATTCTGTAGAATTATCATTCATTGTTGAACATTCTTCAGGAAGTTCAGCGGGGTGTTTATTATTATTAAAAAGCTGCTCTCAAGATTTAAATAAACTGATCAGTAACCCGTATGTGGAATACTTATGGCGTCCTGTAATATCAGATGTTGCGAAGAAAAATACATTGAAAAGATGGATTAAAACGGTTGTGCAGTGCAATGCTTTTAAAGTATAAAGTTACATGTATTTGAGAATGTAAAATCAAAATGTGTAGTTTGTAAAATGGGCCTACCTTTATGCATGTATACTTTTATTGATTTTACGGAGTAATCAAAATTATCGGAAGCCAGTTTGACACAGATCAGAAACACTCCGAAATTCAGACATACCGAAACTGCATTGTTGAGAACATTTCAATAAAGTGGGTTTTTTTTTTTACTTTGGAACATTCATCTCATAAACAAGCTGAAAAGGTTTATTTTCGATGGCTACATTATATTTCTTTTGCTTTTTTTTTTGGTTTATGATCATTCTACAGTACCTAATAAAATTAATAAAAATAAAATAAATAAAAAGGGAGTGGCACCTTCACAACCAAGCGATTGCCCTTTGTTTAGGCATAACGGTTTAAATCTTCCAAGCAGTAACGAGCTCACTATCCTTTATGAAACAATTACGACTCGGACCAAAGGATCCCTTGGAAGGGATTTAACGAGCACAGAAATCGAACCACGGACTCTTTTTATTAATTTGTTATTATTGCTAAATCGATTGCCCAATAAAGCTCTTTAATGATCCATGATCTGACCAATGTTCTAGGTCATGAAAATACTAATCAAAATATTTATTGGTTTGAACAAATAATCCGTTAGTTGGTTAATCTGATTAGTTTGTATCAAAATCAATATTTTTGTATATTAGTTTAGTAACCTGTTACGAAAGCATTTAGGCAAATAATAAAGGTTAAATTGATTTCCTAAATTGTATTGAAATTTTGAAATTTATGATGTGTGATGTGCTGGTAATACCTAACGATGTACATAGGATTGCATAAAAAATGGAGGTATTGAATATATATTATAGGTGGCATTGATAATAAGTATTAAGAAAATTAGTTTGTACTTCCACTAAGGTAGTTTAAAATAAATGATCTTTTACGTTTCTATTTTCACAAATTCTCATGGGGGAGAACACTCTGAGAAGCTCAACAATAGGCCCTACTTTTGCGCTCCATAGAACTGTTACTTCGACAGTTGCCCCCAATTTAGTTACTCTACCCTTTTTTGTACGTCTAGTCTGGGGAGGCTGGGATCTTCCATGTTCAGAGCAAGGGAAATTACTTTCAGTATTACAGATGGACTTGAATAAGATATTTACGTACATATGAAGTTTGTTATTCGACTTTATGATTGGTTGATTCACTTGTAAACATAGTAATAACGTAATATTATACAGTGTGTCTGAAAAAACAATATCTAATAGGTAAAACCAGGAATAATATTTGCATAAGCATTTCCAGAGGCCAAATTGTAGAGATCGATGCTAAGTTAAAGGCAAAAACTAAATTCATGTATTTACAATCAATAACAGTCCATTAAAAACATTGGAAAACAAATTTGATCACTAATATCATGAAGAACGATTGGTTGGCGTGCCAGCCTCAAAAGTATTGCATAGCAATATAGCATTATATAACAGAACAGGCTAATGAATATGAGGGCAAAATGGGAAGAGTAGTGGACTTCCTTCAAGAGACAAGTCTACATGGTTGTAAATATATTTCAGATACCACCAGATCCTTGGCACGTAGGTAAGTCACCTTATTTTATAAAATCTTTGAGACAACGAACAGTGATTTTTTAAATGGTTGGCAAATAATAAAAGTTATTTTTAACATATAGAAATATTAATTATCGAAAAGATTTTCATAAAATGCAAGAAACTTAGCTTGTGGATGCTTGATATTTGTAAATTGTTTTATCGAACATTGGTTACATTTCAGAATTATCTGGGCTCTGTTTTTCACTGCTGCATCTGCGTCATGTATATTTTATTGTGTGGAGCTAGGACTACGACTTTTAGAGTTCAATGTTCAAACTATATTTAGATTGGAACACAAAGATTCCCTGGCATTCCCTACAATAGTTATTTGCAACCCATGTCCTATAAATGTTACACGAAATAATGATACAGAGACACTTTTCCAATCTGGCATACTCTGGTCATCGAATAAGTGGAACATCCTACGTGAGAATTCTTCTAGATCATTTACCATTGAGGATATAAACAAAATAAAGGATGAAAAGAAAATAGATATGCAGGCTTCTATTCTCCAAGCAAGATGGGACGAGAAATATTTGAATATCTCCGAATCTTTCAAACCTTTCGACTTATTGGATAAAAGTTGTGTATGGTTTAATGGGAAAGACTACCAATCTAAATACGGTGCTTTTATTGGGGAAAATAGTGGATATGATGCTGGATTAGAGGTGATTGCTAACGTTCATCAAAATTTATGTTCCTCTGGATTCGTTCTCGAAGCTGGTCTTGAGGTGGGTAGATATAATCTAATTCTATAAATATTAATCATGATATCTGTATGAATTGGAACCTTGGAGCTTTCTGTTCTTTCTAGGAGAGAAACAAATATAGAGGGAACTGTAAGAGATGTTGCTCAACTATTGAAGGTGTAAAGGGTTATGATATTGTCCATCAAATTTCGGTGCAACGTCACATGCATGTGCCTAATCAGATAACTACCCGCCGTGATCACATGTTTTTGTTATTTTCTCCCTTTTTAACATTAATAAAAAGAATAAAGAAATACAATAGAGATTATTGATTACTGCGCATGGATTTCCGACCTTTCCCTTTAATATTCAAAAAGACAAAGCCCGATTTTGAGATGTATAGGCGATGACATATACAAATCGAGAAGATTTTCATTGAATTTCGTATGCTCTATACCCTGTTGACTTAACTCACTACTGCCTTTATAACTGCCATTGGATCTTATGGTTCCAGATTTATATTCAGCCTGTGGAAGATGATATACCAAGTCTATCACCAGCAGCTATTGTAGCACCTGGTACAGCTACTAATATAGGATTGTCAAAATCAACTGTGAGTTTCAATATTATTACACCTGACAAAACTTGTTAATGAAGTCTCTAATCTCAACGCACATGCGTACGGTACATACCAGTCACTTATAAAATTGGGAAAGTGTTCTTATTGCGCCCGAATAACATATAGTTATGCTGAAAAAAAAATTCATATTAACTCACGCGGAATTGTCATTTTGCATGTATTATTTTCCGAAATTACAAAGGAAGCAGATGTATGATGGAATTTTAGGAAAGGTTAAAGAAAAGCGTCATAATTGAAACAATATTTTTGTCATACCTTTTCTTGATTTCTGTAACACAAAAACAGGAAACTCAACATTATATTACTGTGTTGTATAAACTGAAAAGTGCGGTAATGATTTCGGTTAGTATTGTATAATACTGTACTACATTTAATATCGTGCACGAGCTGATGTCTTTAACATTATATATGTGATTATGTCTTTCAGATGAAGTTTTTAGAATATCCCTATAAGGTTATTGGAGACAGATACTGCACTAGTGTGGCAAATTACAGCAAGAGTAATTGTAATGAAGGTTGTATCTCAAAGAAATTAAGAGAGAGGTGTCCATGTTTACCGACCTTATTTGAAGGTGAACGCGATTTAGTCTGTCTCACAACTTGGCTACGTATGATATATTTTGGAGAAATATTATGAATACTAACATCGAATATTTCTATTGGACTTTTCGTTTATTTTTTTATGATGTTACAAACAAATAACACCTTTTCAATCATGTTTAAGTAATTTCATTCGATCACCGATTATACAACCATATGGAAACTGTACTACATGTATATTACTTACATAATAATTACATAAAAGTACTTTTCAACATACTTTGGTGCTGAATCTTGGTTGTATTCTCATGATAACATGCCTCAAATATAATCGTCATCACAATGTTTAGCTAGTTATGACCTTGCATGCAATAGAAATCTTTCTGGTATCACAAAATTTGTAAATGCAGTTGGTGTATTCTGTATTGTACGTAAGCGAATTCAGTCAATTAGAGTCCTCGATAGAAAGTCTGTAAAGAATAAGCCATAATGTTTACAGAACGTCTGTGGAGGGCTTTGATTGGCTGTATTCGCTAGCGTACAATCTAATCAAATCGCCGGTATACAAGAAAGTGGCTATTGTAGTCAAGGTATAAGTCGATGTTCGTAATAACATGACATTGTGAAGATGAAATAGATGCATACAAGATGCATTCTAATAGTTCCACCCTAAATATTTCGTTGACTGGCAATGTATATTATATCTTTGTATTTAAAAGGTGAGACTGATTTTGGGGAATTTGAGAACTGTACAACAGACAATGTTATGGCCGGTGTAGATTGTTATTCGAACTATTATCGTAAGTTACAAAGTATAAACCAATTGTGTCTTAACAAATAAATCATTTTTGCAGCATCAAATCTACCCTTTTAAGAGAGGCTCGTTTATCTTACCTAATTGACTCGATACTATCACTTTTTCAAACCAGCTTATTTTTCCATTGTCAATGTAGCATGCCAGGTGAATGACAGAAAAGTCTAGTCGTTTTATCCCCACGTGCCAAAGGCTGTGTTCCTTCAAGATCCTTCAGAAAAGTCTTCAACTATCCGGATATCTAAAAACTCAGCTCAAATTGTCCCAAATCCAAACATTGTTACAACTCAAACAATGGGCTGCTGCTATATGGCTATGGGAAACAACGCTGCTGTAATTCACAAAATTTATTCTTGTTTCAGCGTTACTAAAGAGTCAGGCAGATAAGGGTGATATCTGTGATTGTCCAGACACATGTGCGGTATCATCGTATTCAATTGATTTATCATTTGGGTATTTTCCTACCACGAGCGTTAGTCAAAGATTGGTAGACATTGGCTATATTCCTGATGTTCAGTATGCTAGGTATGATTTTATCGGTCCAAAGTTTTAGTTGAATTACTTCGAGTTGGCTTACTAACTATTACATCTGATACCACTCTGTAAATTGGTTATATAGGAGATTAAACAGAATGACAACCCTTTAAAAAATTGTTATTGATCTTCAAAAGGCTGGCCGCTTTGCTAACATTTAAAGCTTCTGAAAGCTAAAATAAAAAATGAAACGCGAATAACAAGGAAAAAGCGTTGGTGGTCATTTTCAAATTCAGTTTGACCTCTGACAGTTCTTTGTGCATGGACTCGGTGTTGAAATTTAACACGTTCCATTGTTTATTGTCTTAATCTTACGTTCCAGGGATAATTTGCTTAAATTCAGAATAAACTTCAAGACTCTGGTTGAAGAAATTATTGAATATGTTCCTGAATACTCAGCAGAAACCATGATAGGTGGGTTTTGTTTACATAATACATGTTAAATGTTGAAATAAAACCCAAAATCCTCGGCATATTTGACCAACGTAAATGTTACAATTTTGACGAACTTGATGAAAGAGAAAAAAATGATACTTTTTATATCTAATTTCAGGAACTATTGGAGGCCATCTTGGATTATTTGTAGGAGCTAGTATATTGACTATTTTTGAAATAGTAGAATTATTTGTATTGTTGGTCGGGACAAGAGTATTCAAATTATTCAACAGACCATCCAATATAAGTAAATTATCTTAAGGTTGAGGCCTATTCAGCCTTTGCTTTAAGGACATGATATATTTTAATTTTGCCAGAGTTCCAGGAATAGAGTTCATTTGCACTAGTTGTATTTTCTTGAATACATTAGATTATTATAGTTTGTTTAAGTTTTGTTTTTTTTTTAAATAAGAGAATGAAAATATGCTTAACCAGTTTTCTCTTATAAAGTAGGACTGATTGGGTTTCCAAAACACCCCCTTTCATATCAATCCTACTGTCATAACAAAACTTCGGATACAAGCTGAGATTCAATAAAAGTAATAGTGACTGCGATTACTTCCAAGTTTCAGCAATTGTTCAGATTCTTATGTATTTCGCTAGATGCGAACAGTGGTGAATCCACTATATTTTAGATGTCAGTTTGTCAGTCACTTTGTAGACTAGAGTCGCCTCAATTTGATAGAGAGACTGTAATATATTCAAATATATGCATGAATAGTTCTATGTGCGAAATGGGAAGGGTCCATAGGGCAATAAACCGGAAAATCTATAAGACAGTAATCGTCACATACATGTACTCGAATCAAATTGTTAATAAATAACTCATAATGTTACCGTAACTCAGCCAATTTTGACCCTAGAGGTATGATTTTTATATCAAATGAAAATAAAATATGTCGTGCGTCTATTTCAGTCAAAAACTAAATGTTTTCAAACTTCCGAGAAAATTGAAAAAGTTCCACCCTTATTCATTCTTAACTTTTATATGATAGTATTGCTGATTTAATAAACCTAGGACCAAACTTTATATTATCATCGTAGCTTGACGAAATATTTGGAATTATGAGTTGAAGATGGGGGTGTGGCAATTTGCACTGAATATTCACACCCATCTGAAGATATTCTGTCCCAAATTTCTATTTTCCTACTTTGAATATTCTGCCTGCTACAGTACTTTTATTTCGGACATTTTCCTAAAACAAAATATACGCCATTTTCCTTTAGAAAATAAGAGTGAAATTATGCCTATACGGTTCTAGAGAGTCTCGCTGCACAGGTTGGTGTTAAGAACAAAACGTTGAAAGGCTGCCGTTAGAAAACTATCAGAGATTCGAAGTTTTTCTGTTGCAAATTTCAAGTTGCTACCTTGCAAACTCTCATGCATGCTACAGCACTTTTAGTCCCAGACCACCTTCTTGAATCTCGTTCTCGACTAAATAAGTTGAATTTTAATAAAAGTTGTATATTTCAACTAAGCCTTCAAAAAACATTTAAAGGTTAGAAATGAATTTAAATTCAAAAGTTAGAAAGTTGATCTTTGGAACAAAACAACTTCAAACGGTTGTGCACCTGCAGTACAAATTTCAACTTTGCATCTCTGATAGTTTTGGAACTACGGCGTTTTACAAGCCATTTGATAATGTTGATATCTAATGATAAATTTAGTTGGAGAGATGTATTGTTCTTGATATTGAAAATATTATTTGAGACATTACAGCCTGATGTTGCCAATTAATAGTATTCATACATAAAGAGTTATATACTGTCTATTAGAACTTTTTATCACTACCTAATTATCCATGAAATAATGAATCCAGATGATACCTTCTTACATTGTATATAAAAGTTACGAGCACTTCTACACTTCATACAATCCTATCAAGTTATTCAATAGAGAATCATCTCAAATAGAAGTCATGGCACCTTTAATGTTATTGATGATTGTTGGTTTGGCTTCAGTTTATGGAGTTCAGAGTGAGAATTATTTGAGTAAAGAAGCCAGTATTTTTACGATGTTACTTCAACCCAGAGTTTCTGATGATAAGGCTTGTACAGATTGTTTGAAATTTCTCGGTGATATCAACACTGTTATTGCCAGTCAACCTTTCGCTGCTCAGATAGCTTCCAAGGTAGATATGGGCTGTGCTTTGGTTGGTTCTGCTGAAGCTCAATGTAAACAAATGGTAACAGCCTTGATCCATTCAGCTTTAACTTTTGTATCCAACTTTAACAATCCACAAATAACCTGTGATATGCTAGCTTTATGTATACCAACTCCTCCATCTAAACAACTTTAAAATGGTAGAAGCTGAACTGTAGAAACTAGAGAGCTGAACGTTGTGAACCAGAAAATGTTAAACGTTTTTTAATCATTATATAATTGTATATTTGAAATAAAACATGTTATGAAGTGAATAATAATTTTGTTCTATTTGGTATGTTTTAAAGAATATACGAGATCTTTACTAAATCAACCGGCATATGATAAATTTTGGTGTATTCCAACATATATCAGTAATTCTTATTCCGCTCTTTATTCGTTTCACCCCGTCCACTTTTGCTCTTTTCAATTTTTTATTTCGCCCTCTTACCATATCATCCCTTTTGTCTTCGTTCATTTCCAATATCGCCCCAACCCATTCGCCCCTTTTTAAAAATTAGGCCACATGACACATGAGAATTTATTGTTTCTCTGATGTCAAATTATGAACGAGGATTCCCATTGTCAATGGTATCATCTATGGCGTGTGTGAGGGTGTATGGAAGGGAGAGGAGGTTGTCATATTGTTTTGTGAATGAGACGATAAAACTCGTAATTTAATTGTACCTTTGTAAACTTATCCATTGAAATTACAATTTTTGAATACGTCAAAACAAACACCCTACCAAATCAAACACAGATATATGCTGACAATGTCTCCACTTGATGGGATGATGACCTTACCTTTTCCACTGTAAAGAAAAGAAGTTGGTCGCGGATTTCAAGCATGGCACAAAAGGCCAAGACGATGACCCGCGCCCAGGTATTAGCCACTAGCCACTATTTCGGTAAACATTACTTAAATGCATGTGACATAATGATGACTGATTGACCATTCCTAATATTGCCTATGTTGTGCTTCAGCAAATGGTAACTGCTTGCCTTCCTTGGAGAAGTTTTTTTTCCACTGTATTGACCGCCGTGTGGTCTCTAGTACATTTTTGAACGGTAGCCTGTCAAAGTTTTGGTCTTAACCCCAACCAGTGCAACGAGACTGTATAGAACCGTACACGCAGGTGACCGACAAACACCCCCATATTCAATGACCATAACTGTTAATTTGGATCCCAGTGGTATAAGTTTTGTATCAAATGAAAATTTAACGTGTCATGAGTCTATATCAGTTAAAGACAGAAATTCGGATTTTTTTTTAAAAATCGACTTTGACCATTCACCCCTTTTTATAAGAGGAAAATCCCTTCAAAGCAGTTTTAGCAAAGTAGGATTGTGAAATTTGTAATTAAGCAACTCCAGATGGTTGTGCACCTGAAATCCAAATTTCAACTTCATAACACTGATAGTTTTCGAAAGGCAGTCTGTTAAAGTTTTGATCTTAACCCCTGTGAGGCTTAAACAAAACACACCTAGCTTAAATTGGTCATAACTCTTCCAATTGAGACCCCAGGGGGATATTTTCTGTACCAAATAAAAGTTAACTTGTCCTACGTATGTAAATAAACCAAGTACCAACTAACCGTAAAACGAAACCCTAAATCCAAAACTACATTTTGGCGAAACATGGTAGCAGCTAATGAAATAGGAACGCGCCACGAATAGAAGTAGCGACTATCAATCCAAAACAGAGTTTGCAAGATAGAATTTAGAAAAATTGGAACCAGGATTTTGTTGATTTAAAGAAGAAGTATGCAAAATTTTTCGGATGGAGCATCCACCTAGTTCTACCACTTTGTTGTATTGTTCTTAATATTGAAAATATTATTTGAGACATTACAGCCTGATGTTGCCACTTAATAGTATTCATACATAAAGAGTTATATACTGTCTATTAGAACTTTTTATCACTACTTAATTATCCATGAAATAATGAATCCAGATGATACCTTCTTACACTTCATACAATCCTATCAAGTTGAGAATAGAGAATAGAGAATCATCTCAAATAGAAGACATGGCACCTTTAATGTTATTGATGATTGTTGGTTTGTCTTCAGTTTATGGAGTTCAGAGTGAGAATTATTTGATTAAAAAAGCCAGTATTTATACGATGTTACTTCAACCCAGAGTTTCTGATGATAAAGCTTGTACAGATTGTTTGAAATTTCTCGGTGATATCAACACTGTTATTGCCAGTCAACCTTTCGCTGCTCAAATGGCTTCCAAGGTAGATATTGGCTGTGCTTTGGTTGGTTCTACTGAAGCACAATGTAAACGAATGGTAACAGCATTGATCCATTCAGCTTTAACTTTTGTATCCAACTTTAACAATCCACAAATAACCTGTGATATGCTAGCTTTATGTATACCAACTCCTCCATCTAAACAACTTTAAAATGGTAGAAGCTGAACTGTAGCAACTAGAGAGATGAACGTTGTGAACCAGGATAGATAGAAGATGATAACCTATTTATAATTATTATATATTGTTGTATATTTGAAATAAAAAAATTTGTAGTATAGATAAGATTTTTTTTATTGCCTTTTTTGAGGAGGATGCATGTATTTCACCACCGCAATGCCATATTATCAGTCTTTGCAGTTCTATAATGTTGAACCTTGTACCCATGTAAGAAGAATTATGACCAAGGGGAGCGATCTTGGGGGTGACGGCGGGGTGGGGGTGCATCATATATATTGTTCCCCTCCAAAAAAATTAATTAATGAAAATTCAATTCATTCAAACAATTCACCACGACTTCATATTCACTTCATTCATTCAATTGACCATTATAGTTTGTAAATATAAAGTGGTAAATAAATATAATCGATCATCGTGATATACATGGATAAGGAAATAGGCTGATGATAATCCCTGTCATTATCTAGATCGATATATTGCACATATGAAGGGGACAAGTGTTTACAGTTGGCCTATTCATGTTTCCCAAATAGTTTGTCTCTTGTGCAGAGTCAGGGAAGAATAACAAATGCTTATTTCCTTATAACTGTCGTTTCAATCTTCAAAAAACAGTTCTCTTGTTCTACAAACTGACTTAAAACTTATATCTGCGATACCCCCCCCACCTTTCAACCAGTTCCCTTAAAAGATGTTCCCTAAAAAGATTATCGCGAATGATCGCCGAGTCACGACTTTTTTATGGACACATTCAAAACTGTCTGTTTGTAAGCGCGTTCGGAACGCAATGGAATCGAGAAGGACGCCAAAAAATTGTCGTTAGATCTCCATGATCTCAAAAAGTGTAGTTTATACGTGACAAAACGCTATGTTTTGCAGCATGCGATTTCTTAGCATCCTCAGGGAGTTCATTGTGCGTTTATGGGGTTCTTTATCGCACTCTTTACAAGGCTTTCCTGTACTATCTACTATAAAACCTGTCAGTAATATTTGTCGAATCAAACCCAAATTCAAACTTGTCTAATACAAAAACTATGGCCTTTATCAAGTCAATCCGGACGGACTGATAGGTTCGGTGGAAATAAACGTCCTCATTAGAACGTGGGCGTAAAATAATCTGACAACTGTATTTAGTGTTGTTACTTCGTCATTGTTTGTTTAATCGTACCCAAATTTGTACCTGATCTTGTTGATTTAAACCTTAACACACAAAAATTCTGACAAAACTTACGACCTATCGCATTCACATGGTAAGTTTAAAATATTTGTCAATTTGTACCCAAATTCGAACTCCGAAACTTCATCTGATTACATTTAGGAACAGACTAAAAATCATTTCTGCCCCCAAATCTATTCTTTATCACCTAAATAAACCAACTTTTACAAGCAACTTGATAATGTTGGCTAGTAATAATAAATCCACCTGCTACAACTACTTTGCTGTTTGTTCTTGATCTTCAAAATGTTGCCACATAATGATATTCATACATAAAGAGTTATATACTGTCTATTAGAACTTTTTATCACTACCTAATTATCCATGAAATAATGTATCCAGATGATACCTTCTTACATTGTATATAAAAGTTAGGAGCACTTCTACACTTCATACAATCCTATCAAGTTATTCAATAGAGAATCATCTCAAATAGAAGTCATGGCACCTTTAATGTTATTGATGATTGTTGGTTTGTCTTCAGTTTATGGAGTTCAGAGTGAGAATTATTTGAGTAAAGAAGCCAGTATTTTTACGATGTTACTTCAACCCAGAGTTTCTAATGATAAGGCCTGTACAGATTGTTTGAAATTTCTCGGTGATATCAACACTGTTATTGCCAGTCAACCTTTCGCTGCTCAAATGGCTTCCAAGGTAGATATGGGCTGTGCTTTGGTTGGTTCTACTGAAGCACAATGTAAACAAATGGTAACAGCCTTGATCCATTCAGCTTTAACTTTTGTATCCAACTTTAACAATCCACAAATAACCTGTGATATGCTAGCTTTATGTATACCAACTCCTCCATCTAAACAACTTTAGAAGCTGAACTGTAGAAACTAGAAAGTTGAAAGGATAGATAGAAGATGATAACCTATTTATAATTATTATATATTGTTGTACATTTGAAATAAAAAATTATGTATTGTAGATAATTTTCTTTTTTTGCCCATGTTAAGGAGGATGCATGTATTTCACCACCGCAATGTCATATTATTAGTCTTTGCAATTCTATAATAGTTAAACCATTTCCTTTATGTCATAATGACATAGTGATGAAGATTTATTCTCGTTATTCAACTCAAAAGACACGGTGCACTTTGTTGTAAAAAGAAAATTGATACTTTAAAATAATATGGTTGAAATGTTGATTTGGCGAACATAATTTAATACTCTAACTTTGTCATCGAGATGTAAATTGAATTGAATCAAACATTCGCCATTCTCTATTATCTCTATACAGAATATATAGGCCACTCTATTATACAGTAGTTGGGATTTGATAAAACGTATCGTTACCTCTGCATGTAAATCATGTCAGTGTCACATGGAATCGTGGTATGTATACACAGACAATTCATATATTTTTGTATATAAAACTTAGTGTACGCCATAATTATCTTGTGCTCTGTGGACTACAGACTCTGTTTATACGTTGGGTACATTTGTGCTGGCCATGTTTGACAGTTTCGAACACGTCAGAATAGTTTACGTAATTGAATACATTATTGATTCTTGTGTACTATCAATCGTATCACCATGCAAAGTCAACTTCTATAACGTCTGTTTGACTACAATGTTTGAGTAGTGTGAACGCATCCCATTGATATCATAATTAGGTACATGAAGCCATTATGCCAATATCAGAGCCCATGTAAGAAGAATTATGACTATTTGTATAATAATATTATAACCACTTTTCAATATGAAATACTTAGTCACTTGTTTCGCCAATATGTTGTTTGGATTTCTGGTTTCGTTTAGCGGTTTGGATCTTGGTTTAATTATTTACATTTCATGTAGCATTCTGTTTGTTGTTTAATAGGAGAAGAGGGGTGATACACCTATTTATAATTCTACAATATTAGACAGTGTTGATTTCAATCGTCACCGAGCCAGTTTTAACCCACCAATAACACCGGATAATTTAGGAGAGGAATTTGTGATGCGACCTTTATGTCTTGAAGATTTTGAAAGAGGTAAGGCAAGTCATGTGATCGTAACTGTGTCTTGTTGACCCCAGTCAAATATTCTTCGGGGTTTTTTTTATATTAGCTTGTCTATTTGCAAAACTGTAACATTTTAAAGCATTGTGTGTTCAAAAGTTTAATATAAAGTGTCACTGTTTAAGGTTATATGGAGCTTCTTGATGAACATGTTCCAAATGGATTGATAAATAAAGAAGAATTTACAGGTAAACATTTCATGAATTCTCCATTAAATTTTGTCGAATGTTTCATGGGAATATTGGGAACGGGAATTCAGATATATTTCTATGGCTTCATGGAAATAGAAATGTTTGGTATTTCTACAGTTTAAACATATTTACTTCCCTTCTAAAGATTGGTCTAAAATTATAATATAAGTATAATGATTTTGGATAGAAAATTACGTACTGCGTGGAATATTTGAAAAAGATCTGTTAGTTGTAACGATGTTAACAAAATCGCGTTCGGCCATCCATTCATTTTCGTAATGAATTATCAACTACAGAGTATTGTCGAGAGCCTTATTTGCCTACATGTTGATGGAAGTATGATTTTGGGGGGATTTTCAGCCCGAACAGTGGGTCATTTTAACGTGAACTTACTTGGAGGGAAGTGTGTTTATTTCAAATGCACAAGTATATTATTTGTTCTCTTTCAGAACGGTTTACCAAATGGTGCAGAAAAGTAGGACGTAATACTCCATTCATTTCTTTTTTATTTTAGAACGGTTCAATAAAATGAAAAAAGCTGGTGATATTCATTTAATAACAGTCATAGAGGATGTAACAACGAATAAAACTATAGCCAGTGCAACATTAGTTAATGAACTGAAATTCCTAATGAAGGCTACATCGGTATAAGATTTTAATTTTTCTGAACAACCTCAAAAGGCTTCATCCATAATATTCCCATCACATACACGATTTATCTTACGATCTTACGAACCACTAACTCTTAGTTAACCCCCACGCATTCGTAAATAACTCACTGGTATCCGTAAATAATTCATAACAACTCGCAGCAAGTTGCAAAACTGTTACGTATCTCACAATTAATATTTTCCGTAACTAACTAACCGTAATTATTGCAAACCGCCTATAAACCACTCGCAACAGCACGTAACCTCCGTAAATTTCTCGCAAGATTTTATGAGTTACGAGTACTGTATTAATAGTTATATATTTTCTAATGCATAGTTTTCTGTTTGGGGGAAATGTATAAAAGTCTATAAAAGATAAATAATCGTAACTTATTCGTAACTAAATCGTAGATATTTGTAACAACTATACAACTTGTGAAATGTCCATATGTTGCTCGTAGTACAATATGTGTTATTTTCTTTTTGCCAATAAATTTGTTTTAATTTCAGAGAGGAAGGATAGAAGATGTGGTCGTTAGTAAACCTTACAGAGGAAAACAATTTGGTAAAATGTAAATAGTGTCATTATCATTGTAAATTGATGAAATTCTTAATCATATTGGGCACGGTTGTTTTGGTCACACGGAAAATTTACATTGTAAATAGGTTAGAGAAATTTGCACACATGTATGAATAATCAATAATCAAGGTAACTTGGTCACAGTAATTTAATTAAAGCAATGTTGTGTTATTATACTAGTTTACCTTGTGACCAGTTTACCTTGTGACCATTTCAGCATGATTGCTTTATTTTATGACACAATTTTCTGTGTAAAGTGTTACTGCGCATATAGTGAGCCTGTGACCAATTTTCCGTATGACCCAAATCACTCACATGACCAAATACCTCACATTACCAAATCATTAACATGACCAAATCACTCATGACTAAATCACTCACATGACCAAATCACTCATATTCTATCATGTTACCATTTAATTTTATACTTCATTCCTTTTAAGAAGATGATGTACAGACCAATTTCCAAAACAGCTGCTTGTGAATGCTGTCCTTAATCCAAACCTCTTGTTTTCTAGTACACATTTATTTCAGATTACTGGAAACATTGACATTGTTAGCCGAGAAACTTGGATGTTACGAATCATCATTAGAATGTGAACAGAAAAACATAACATATTATTCCAAATTTGGTTACCAAGTTGAACCAAACGATCAATATATGACATTAAGATTTAAATAAATAACTGTTGAATTCAATTGTTTTGATAACTGTAATGTATATAAAAATCTTAATGACTTCATACCTATATAATAAAAATAACAAACTTGATTGATTGTATGAAGTGTAGAAGTGCTCCTAACTTTTATATACAATATAAGAAGGTATCATCTGGATTCATTATTTCATGGATAATTAAGTAGTGATAAAAAGTTCTAATAGACAGTATATAACTCTTTATGTATGAATACTATTAAGTGGCGACATCAGGCCATATCAATGCTATAATGTGTCAAATAATATTTTGAATATCAAGAACAATACAAAGTGGGTGCTCTATCCAAATTCATCATCAATGGACTACATATAAAATGACTCGTAAAACGTTGCCTTGAAAACGCGAAAAAGGACAGATTTTTGGACAGGCATGATTGTTTTTTTTCCCTTAATTTATAGAATAATCGGTTCCTGAAGTCCTATTTGGGTTGACTTATATTTCGTCGCTTTTGCTCGACCGTCAACTAAAAAGCGGTGTGAACACAGTTTTTGCCAGAATTTTTGTAGAAGTTGACGCATACATGTCTATACACAGGATCGCAGACTGTTTTAATTTAGGTATGATTTGACAAATATTGACAATTACCGCCCTTGATATATTGACCAAACGTTTAAGTTGGCTTACGAACTTGATAAAGGCAATAGTTTACAATTGTATACAATTTGGTTTGTATAGATTTTTATCAAGAAGACGTTGTACAACCTTCACGGGGTGAGTTACGACCCTTGAAATGCTGAGACGAGATCTTGTGAGGCTGCAGTTTTTGTCACTTTTAAAGAATTTGATGTGTAGGATTATATAAATAAGATCTGAGCATGATTTGATAAATATCAACGTTACTCCACGTAATACACTTTAAATACATTAAAAAGTTATTTGAGAATTCGATGGAAGCTATATTTGTTGATTTTTTTTTCTTTTATCAATTTTTATGTTTAGCTTTATATTCAGATGTTAAGTGATGAGTTAGCACCCAAATCAAGTACTTACGAAGTTACAGTTCTTGAAATGCTGAAAATGTGGGAGTATTAACAACCGCTTGTTACATATCAGTATGTTAATTAATCAAAGATCAGAACTAATATAAGGGTTTAGGATTTTTTACCACTGGTAAAATAAAAACTAAATAAATGTACCAATTTAACCCAATGATGGTGGTGGACAATACAATTATGACTTATATATACATACCACAAACCCATGTGGCACTAAAATGTTTTACATGGCAACAAGAAGATGTAATCTTTGATCGCATGCAAAAATTCAAATCTTCATGTCACCATTATAGAATTGCAATAGGAGAAAATTTATTTGACATTGCGTTGTTGTGATAAATACATTCATCTCAACATGGGAAATAAAAGGAAATTATCTACACTATATAACATAAATTTTTATTTTCAATATAGATCTTTCAATAAAGAATGATTGAAAACCTTTTTTCATCTTCTATCTATCCTGGTTCACAACGTTCAGCTCTCTAGTTGCTACAGTTCAGCTTCTACCATTTTAAAGTTGTTTAGATGGAGGAGTTGGCATACATAAAGCTAGCATATCACAGGTTATTTGTGGATTGTTTAAGTTGGATACAAATGTTAAAGCTGAATGGATCAATGCAGTTACCATTTGTTTACACTGTGCTTCAGTAGAACCAACCAAAGCACAGCCCATATCTACCTTGGAAGCTATTTGAGCAGCGAAAGGTTGACTGGCAATAACAGTGTTGATATCACCGAGAAATTTCAAACAATCTGTACAAGCTTTATCATCAAAAACTCTGGGTTGAAGTAACATCGTAAAAATACTGGCTTCTTTACTCAAATAATTCTCACTCTGAACTCCATAAACTGAAGCCAAACCAACAATCATCAATAACATTAAAGGTGCCATGTCTTCTATTTGAGTAGATTCTCTATTCTCTATTCTCAACTTGATAGGATTGTATGGAGTGTAGAAGTGCTCCTAACTTTTATATACAATGTAAGAAGGTATCATCTGGATTCATTATTTCATGGATAATTAGGTAGTGATAAAAAGTTCTAATAGACAGTATATAACTCTTTATGTATGAATACTATTAAGTGGCGACATCCGGCCAAATCAATGCTAAAATATTTCAAATAATATTTTGAATATCAAGAACAAGACATCAAAGTGGTAGAACCAGGTGCATCTTCTATCTCAATTTTATAATCAATTGGCTTGTAAAATGTTGGTTTATGAAGGCGATACAGAATAGAATTTGGGGAAGAAATGATTTTTAGTCTGTTCCTGGATGCAATCAGTTGCTTCTATTTAGTTACAGAGCTTTATATACTAAAAATACGTTAGTTTTGTCTTGTAAACGCGATAGAGGTCACATTTTTTGCCAGGATTGTATAAAATTAGGTGTGTACGATTCGATAAATATTGACTGAATTTCAGCACATAATATACTGAAAATAGTTTAATCTGGGCATGTAAAAGCAATAGAGGTCAGAAGTATATAAATATTAGAGTTTTAAATCAGCAAGATCCTGTGCACGTACGAATTTGTATTGACGAAATACAGCACTTGATATACTGAAAACATTAGATATTGTCAGATATTTATATTTCCATCTTCTTTGTTCGTCCGTCCGTCCGCCCGGATTGGCTTTTGTCCGATTTCATAAATGTGTTTGTTATCTCCACATGATAAGTGGAAAGTTAGAATTTGGGTACGATTAGACAAATAATAACGATAGCAATATGCGCATTGTGAGGACCCTCAGCTGAGAACGACGTAACAACTCATAAAGCGTACAAGTGTCGTGTCAGATAATCGTGATGAAAACGCCAATAAGTTGCAAATATAACCGTTTTTGCCCCGCACAAACCTCGCTTTTATTGCGTTCATGGACATCTTACAACGACTGTTTCGATTTCCATTGCAAGCTGTCTGAAGTTTCCTATACGCTCAAACCAAACATATGGCGATCTTGACACACTCTAAAGTCATGTAAAATCGCAATGATGAGGACGCTTAGCTTTGATAGCTTTACACATTTGTCTCAATGGATCAGCATAATATCATCTATTAATTGTCTGACTTTTTTCAAGACAGTCGTTCAACGAATACCCTTAGAATCACAAAAGATTTAAGACACAGACCAAAACTTTAGCAGGATGCCGTTCGAAAACTCTCAGAGATGTAAAGCATAGTACATGTTAGTCAATTTGAAACAACAATTTTTTCCTCTTGAAAATAGGGATGAAACTTCAAAGACCTCTTTGGTCAGAATTAGCCGAGTTATGCTCATTTGAAGAAGGAAGATGAGATGTAAATTTATATCATATTTCTGGGGTCAAAATTGGCCAAGGAGATGTGGATCAGTCACGAGACTGTACAGTCTCGCTGTATAGGTTGACAAAATTTTTTACAGGCTTCCATTCGAAACTATCGGAGGTGTAAAGTTGCAATTTGCACTGATTATTCGCACCCATCTGAAGTTGTTCTGTTCCAATCTCAAGTTCCTGTCGTGTTCACACTGCCTGCTACATCACTTTTAGTGTCAGGTTAACAAAAATATATGCGATTTTCCTCTCAAAAATAAGAGTAAAACATCAAAGTCGATTTTCTCGAAACAATTCAATTCCGGAATTCTGTTTTTGATGAAAATAGACACAGGGCATGTGAAACCTTCATTCGATACAAAACTCATTCCTCTCGGGTCAAAATTGGCCGATTGTTAGTCATTTGAAAACGGGGGTGTGGGTCAGCCACCAGCCTTTAAAGTTTCGCTGCACAGGTTCGGGTTAAGACTAAAACTTTGACAGTCTGCCGTTCGAAAACTATCAGAGATGTGAAGTGTTCTGTTCCAATTACAAGTTCCTTCCGTGCAAACTCGGCCTGCTTCAGTGTCAGACTTTTTTCCCAAACCAAAATTTAAGTGATTTTCCTCTTGAACATAAGGATGAAACTTCAAAGTCGATATTTTTGAAAGTTTTAAAAAATGTCGACTAATAGAGCCGCAGGACATGTTAAGTTAATAATTTGATTTAAAAATCATTCCTCTCGGGTCAAATTTGGTCGACTTATGGCCATTTGAAGATGGGGTTGTGGGTCAGCCACCAGCATATAAGATCCTGCACAGGTCTCGATGCACTGCAGGTTGCATAATATACGGTCCTATAAGTCTTGCTGCACGGGTTGCATAATACGGGCTTATAAATCTTGCTGTACAGGTTTGGGTTAGGACCACAGACTGTCATTCGAAAACTTTTAGGGATGTTTGGTCTGCAGGTGCCCAATCACCTAAAGTTCTTTGCCTGCTACGGCACTTTTAGTTTCCTAGTTTGTCCTAATTCAGTTTTCGAGCAATTGTTGTTCAGGCATGTTTTTGACAGTTTTTTGACATTTTTGACGTTTGACATAACAATTTTCCGTCCCATGTTTTTCAGTCCCACATTTTAACTTCATGTATTGCACACTCTTCAAACTACAGCATTTTTAGTTTCCGACTTTTTCCGAAACTGCCTTTTGAGGGTTTTTCTTTTGTCTATGCGTGAATTATTCTGCAAACTTGTTGGAAAAAGAAGGGAAATCAAAGAAACTAAAATGGAAACTGTCGTTATTTGTCTCTGTTGGAAATCGGGCAATGGAGTTTTGTTCATTTCTTGTTGATTCACAGGCTGACAAAGACAATAATAACACCACAGACTTCTCACCTTATTGTCCCGTCGCGTGGGACCATTTCCTGTGTTTTCAGTCTGAATTCGGTATCGAGAGTAAAGATAGCTTGCCATACAAGGTAACATACGCCCACAGGCAGCTGGCAGAGATGATAACTAAATCTTTTTTTGACCAAAAAAATGTTAAAGAATAATAATACGAAATTTCTCAAATTGAAGATATTCATAAAACATTTATGTCTCAAAACCTTTGGATGGCCCACAGACAGCTGTCAGAGATGATAACTAAGTCTTTATTGACCAAAAATATATTAAAGATGTTCATAATACGAAATTTCCCATAATACAATTATATCTCAAAACCTGTGGATATCTTATCAAATTTACAGTTATCCTGAGTTTTTCTACAAAATCTTTTTAAATCAATAGTAATAACCCAGAAACGTTGAAATGTCCTCTTATTTCTTAAATTTCCAAAGATATTTAATAATATTATCCAATTCACACGAACAAGATCTCATCAATATAGAAAATTTATATCTCGATATATATACATGCATAATTGCATACCAAGTTTCATCACGATCAGGTGATCGTATCCCTCATCGTGTTTACAAGAAATGCAAACGAGCGGACAGTGGCGACGGCAATATACGTCCACATTTCCATGTGGGCGTATATACAAACTTATAAAACAGTTTTCTTGATCATTCATCATAAGAAGAGAATGTTCAACTATTATCTAATTGCAAAGACTAATTATAATGACATCGCACTAGTTTCATACTAAATCACATACATTTATCTTGTCATGGGAAATGGTAAGAAATTATCTTTACTACATAACATAATATTTTATTTCAAATATACAACAATATATAATAAATATAATTTATTTATAATTATAAGTAGGTTATCATCTTCTATCTATCCTGGTTCACAACGTTCAGCTCTCTAGTTGCTACAGTTCAGCTTCTACCATTCTAGAGTTGTTTAGATGGAGGAGTTGGTATACATAAAGCTAGCATATCACAGGTTATTTGTGGATTGTTAAAGTTGGATACAAAAGTTAAAGCTGAATGGATCAATGCTGTTACCATTTGTTTACATTGTGCTTCAGTAGAACCAACCAAAGCACAGCCAATATCTACCTTGGAAGCCATTTGAGCAGCGAAAGGTTGACTTGCAATAACAGTGTTGATATCACCGAGAAATTTCAAACAATCTGTACAAGCTTTATCATCAGAAACTCTGGGTTGAAGTAACATCGTAAAAATACCGGCTTCTTTACTCAAATAATTCTCACTCTGAACTCCATAAACTGAAGCCAAACCAACAATCATCAATAACATTAAAGGTGCCATGTCTTCTATTTGAGATGATTCTCTATTGAACAACTTGATAGGATTGTATGAAGTGTAGAAGTGCTCCTAACTTTTATATACAATGTAAGAAGGTATCATCTGGATTCATTATTTCATGGATAATTAGGTAGTGATAAAAAGTTCTAATAGACAGTATATAACTCTTTATGTATGAATACTATTAAGTGGCAACATTAGGCTGTAATGTCTCAAATAATATTTTCAATATTAAGAACAATACAACAAAGTGGTAGAACCAGGTGCATTTGTATCTCAATTTATCATTACAAGCCCACATAATCAATAGGCTTGTAAAATGTTGGTTTATGAAGGCGATACAGAATAGAATTTCAGTATTTTATCTTTAAAATGTTTAATTGGTAACTCCATTAACAAGTTAAATAAAAACATTTCTGTCATATAGTGAGCTTAAGTATATACCAGGTTAGCACTTAACATGTTAACCCTTTCAAAACCGAGTTCAATATATCCACTTTGTTCGTTAGTTTGAATTATTTGATATAGTGTATAGTCTTAATTTTGCCCTCCCGCCCTATTTCCCTTATTTTATTTATTTATTTTTATTTAATTATAGTTTGTAATAAGCGGATTAGATTAAATTCTTGTTCTAATTTTTGTTCATTTTGTTCTTTATTATTAATTTAATAGTTTGTATTTTGTAAATTTTAATTCCTTTTTAGCCAATATAAAGAAAGTATTCATTTACTTTATTATTGTCTTGCTATTAGAGTTGGGAATTTGTGGAAGAAATAATTTTTAGTCTGTTCCTTGATGGTTCTATTTAGTTACAGAGCTTGAAATACTGAAAATACGTTAGCTTTGGCTTGTAAACGCCATAGAGGTCACAGTTTTTGCCAGGATTGTATAAGTTCCTACAGTGTACACTCTGCCTGTTACAGCACTTTTAGTGTCAGACTTTTTCCCGAACCAAAATACATGCGATTTTCTCCTTGAAAAAAAGGATGATACTTTAAAGTCGATATTCACGAAAGTTTTAAAAATTCCGAATTTCTGATTTCGACCATCAGGATGTAGGACATGTTAAACTTGTAATTTGATTTAAAAATCATTCCTCTCGGGACAAGTTTGGTCGAATTATGGCCATTTGGTTTCGTGGGTCAGCCACCTGTATATAATATCCTATACAGTTTCGCAGCACAGGTTGCATATACAGTCCTATAAGTCTTGCTGTACAGATTTGGGTTAGCTGCCAAACTTTTAGAAATGTAGGCCTAAGTTCATGTTTGCAGGTGCACGATCACATTAAGTTCTTTGCCTGCTACGGCACTTTTAGTTTCCGAGTTTTTCCTAAACCAGCTTTCGAGCGATTTTCCTCTTGAATATGGGGTGAAACTTTTAACTCTATTTTCTCGTTTCAAGTTTTAAAAAATCTTTAGTTTCCGACTTTTTCCAAAACTGCCTTTCGGGGGTTTTTCTTTTGTCTATTTTGCGTGAATTATTCTGTTTTCTTGTTGGTTCACAGGCTGACAAAGACAATAAGAACACCACAGAGTTCTCACCTTATTGTCCCGTCACGTGGGACCATTTCCTGTGTTTTCAGTTTGAATTCGGTATCGAGAGTAAAGATAGCTTGCCAAGCAAGGTAACATACGCCCACAGGCAGCTGTCAGAGATGATAACTAAATCTTTGTTTGACCAAAAATATGTCAAAGAATAATAATACGAAATTTCTCAAATTGAAGATATTCATAAAACATTTATGTCTCAAAACCTTTGGATGGCCCACAGACAGCTGTCAGAGATGATAACTAAGTCTTTATTGACCAAAAATATATTAAAGATGTTCAAATTTCTCATAATACATTTATGTCTCAAAACCTGTGGATATCTTATCAAATTTACAGTTATCCTGAGTTTTTCTACAAAATCTTTTTAAATCAATAGTAATAACCCAGAAACGTTGAATTATCATTCTCCTCTCATTTCTCAAATTTCCAAAGATATTTAATAATACTATCCAATTCACACGAAAAAGATTTTCAATATAGAAAAATTTGATAAAAACTGTAGCCCTTATCATGTGTTCAAGAAATCAACGGAAGAACAGGCGGATAGGGGCAACGGCATTCATGTGGTCGTATAAAAACTTATAGAACAGTTTTCTTGAACATTCAGATATGATCTTCATCATCATTCATCATAAGAAGAGAATGTTCAACTATTATCTAATTGCAAAGACTAATTATAATGACATCGCACTTGTTTCATACTAAATCACATACATTTATCTTGTCATGGGAAATGGTAAGAAATTATCTTTACTACATAACATAATATTTTATTTCAAATATACAACAATATATAATAAATATAGATAGGTTATCATCTTCTATCTATCCTGGTTCACAACGTTCATCTCTCTAGTTGCTACAGTTCAGCTTCTACCATTCTAGAGTTGTTTAGATGGAGGAGTTGGTATACATAAAGCTAGCATATCACAGGTTATTTGTGGATTGTTAAAGTTGAATATAAATGTTAAAGCTGAATGGATCAATGCAGTTACCATTTGTTTACATTGTGCTTCAGTAGAACCAACCAAAGCACAGCCCATATCTACCTTGGAAGCTATCTGAGTAGCGAAAGGTTGACTGGCAATAACAGTGTTGATATCACCGAGAAATTTCAAACAATCTGTACAGGCTTTATCATTAGAAACTCTGGGTTGAAGTAACATCGGAAAAATACTGGCTTCTTTACTCAAATAATTCTCACTCTGAACTCCATAAACTGAAGCCAAACCAACAATCATCAATAACATTAAAGGTGCCATGTCTTCTATTTGAGGTGATTCTCTATTGAATAACTTGATAGGATTGTATGAAGTGTAGAAGTGCTCCTAACTTTTATATACAATATACGAAGGTATCATCTGGATTCATTATTTCATAGATAATTAGGTAGTGATAAAAAGTTCTAATGGACAGTATATAACTCTTTATGTATGAATACTCTTAAGTGGCGACATCAGGCAAAATCAATCCTATAATGTTTCAAATAATATTTTGAAGTGCAAGAACAATACAATACAACAAAGTTGTTTTGCCAGGTGGATGCTGGTGGAACGCGATACAGAATATATTTTAGGGGATAAATGGTTTTTATACGCCCACAAATATATTTTGGGTATATTTTGTAATCACCCTGGCGTTCCGTGGACCCCTTTACATGTGGTTCTTGCTTGAATACTATTAAGTGGCGACATCAGGCCAAATCAATGTTGAGATGTCTCAAATAATATTTGAAAATATCACAAACAATACAACAAATTGGTTGTAGCAGGTGGATCCAAATTATCATGATGTACCCACATTGTCAAATTGCTTCTAAAAATTTGGTTGATAAACGCAATATAGAATAGACATTTGGGAAGAAATGATTTTTAATCTTTTTTATGGGTAGCATTTTTCTAAGTTTCGAAGTTCAAATATTTACGGCAATAGAGTACTTGATAGACAATTGATGAAAAATGAAATGAAATGAATGGAGTTTTACGTCCTACCTTTCTGCACCATGTTGGCTAATGAAGACGGGCAACGCGATGCAGGGTGCAATGAGGGAAATTTTGCCAGGACAGTGGCATTAGCCTGCCCTTTTTCGATTTCCAACTGTCAAGTGATCTTTAACGGGCACATCCTGTAGTACACGGGGCCTCGGGTTATTGACCCATCGGAACGACTGGACGCTTTTTCCATGTCAGCCCCTCTTACCTGCATCACTGAAGTCATTATCTCGACCTATGTTGGGATTGAACCCTGGACCTACAAGTTAGCGAGCAAGCGTCCAACTCACTGAGCAACCGCGGCTCCCAGAACACAATTGATGAGACAGTTTTTGTCCTAGTTATGTAAAATTGGTGTGTACGAATTTGAGTTGGATTCGACAAATATCGACGTTTCAGAACATAAAAAACTGAAAATTCGTTAAATTTGCCGCATGAAAGCGAGAGAGGTCACAGTTTTTGTCATATTTGTATAAAATTGGGTGTGTAGGTTAAAACCAACTAGATCTTGTTTTGAATTTGGGTACGATTTATCAAATATTGACGGAGTTTCAGCACTCCATGTACTGAAAATCAAATATATATAGTTGTCACATTTTTCATTAAATTTTGTGTAGCTTCGATTCCAAGCTTGTTTGGATATTATCGACCGAGCTACTGCCCTTTATATACCGTAAATAAGTTAAAAGGCGCTTATGATAAGTTGTCGGATTTTTAACAAATTTGTGTGTATCTTTCTATTCACTACTGTTCAACTAGGTGATTTCAAAATCCTTTAAGCTCATAAAAAGATTTTTTTCCAACAGAATTTGCGATCGGATTCCAGGACCAATGCCGCAACTGGTGCGTATACTGTGCCTGCAACTCAACATGTCAAATCTGATTGTCGAGACCTCGGTTTATCGTTTCATTCTCAGGATCATATGTTCCGTCACCCTCTTTGATCATACGATTGACGATGTGGAAGTCGTATCACTAAGTTCGATACTGACCTCAATCAGAAACAATATAAATTCTCACGTGGCCTAATTTGAAAACCAAGGGGTGAATTAAGAAAAACGCGTCAAAATTTGTTTGTGAACACAAAAGAGACTACAGTTTTCAACTGATTTGAATGAAATTTGGTGTGATCATTCAAATTGGTGAGATCTTGGACAAGTTCGAATTTGATGATATTTCGATGACGGTCTTTGAGTTAATGCCCAGTTAAGGCCAAAAGTAGAGGTGGCGAAAGGAGAAGGGCCGATATGGGAAAGAGGCGAAACCGAGAAGAAGGGATAGGGGGGGGGGGGGGGGGAAGAAGAGGCTTGATGGGATAACATCAAAACTCATGGGGAATAAAAAAAAAGATATCTACAATATATAACATAAATCGTTATTTAAAATATACAACTATATAATATATAATTAGTAAAAATCATCTTCTATCTATCCTGGTTCACAACCTTCATCTCTCTAGTTTCTACAGTTCAGCTTCTACCATTTTAAAGTTGTTTAGATGGAGGAGTTGGTATACATAAAGCTAGCATATCACAGGTTATTTGTGGATTGTTAAAGTTGGATACAAAAGTTAAAGCTGAATGGATCAATGCAGTTACCATTTGTTTACATTGAGCTTCAGTAGAACCAACCAAAGCACAGCCCATATCTACCTTGGAAGCTATTTGAGCAGCGAAAGGTTGACTGGCAATAACAGTGTTGATATCACCGAGAAATTTCAAACAATCTGTACAAGCTTTATCATCAGAAACTCTGGGTTGAAGTAACATCGTAAAAATACTGGCTTCTTTACTCAAATAATTCTCACTCTGAACTCCATAAACTGAAGACAAACCAACAATCATCAATAACATTAAAGGTGCCATGTCTTCTATTTGAGATGATTCTCTATTGAATAACTTGATAGGATTGTATGAAGTGTAGAAGTGCTCCTAACTTTTATATACAATGTAAAAAGGTATCATCTGGATTCATTATTTCATGGATCATTAGGTGGCGATAAAAAGTTCTAATAGACAGTGTATAATGGCGACATCAGGCCAAATCTACTCTATAGAGATCAATTGTTTCAAAAAATGTTTAGAAGATCAAAAACAAAACAATAAAGTGGTAGTAACATGTGGATGCCCCAAATTCATCATTACATACTATACTATCAAGTGTCTTTTCATTCGGCTTGATAAGCGATACAAGGTAGAAGTTGGGGAATCTGACCACTTCTTCATTGCGCATTTTGCTATTTATGTTTATTTGGTCGGATCAAGATTAAGAATCAGAATTGCATTTGGGATACTAGATGACATTATTTACGTCCTAAGAGTGTTATTAAATATCCATACGCATAGAAAGGTATCGACGGATAAAATGGTTCTTAACTCAAAGGTACGGGATAGAATTACGACACACGTCTATTTATATCTATTGATATAATCATATATACAGTATATAGTTGCACTCTTTTCAACAAATGCAAGATATGGTCATCTCTACCTTTCTTTAAACAAGTCAGACTCCTGTTACGGTGCCGTTATTTGAAATACATTTAATATTTTTACGTCAGACTGTTCATATCTGTTGTTCTACTTAGTTGGCTGTCATTATTTACATAAGCGACTTCGTAACTATAATTTGTTACTGGTTATAGGTGTTATAGAAGATACTCTCCTATACAAGCACTGGCTATTTCAATTTAAAGAGAATATGTTTTACTGAAGATTATTCATAGATTATTACTTCTGAAGAAAAAATATATTCAACTCAAATTCCAATGCAATTGTTTCAGGGAGTTCTAATCTACCATGAACCAATACATTACTAAAGTTTTTATTTCTTTTATATGCAGTTATACTAAACGTTTGGAAATTCATCTTGGAGCTCATTATAAAAGCGTTGACAATGACAGAGGCATTTTAGCTGTAGTATTGTAGGTTGCAATGAAGGGTATGATCTGGTTGTCATGTTGGATATTTAGGCTGGTGTTTTATAATATATGGTTTTGTTTATGTGACTGTATTTATGTCAAAAGCAATCAGATTTATCAATGAATTCAGGTTCTTGAAAGTTTAGCTCCGCTTAAACCTAATATAATTGTAGGCAATCAAATGTCTTCATTGTACAAAAGGTTGAACTTTAGTTTTTGATTGATACCCAGAACACCACAGTTTCTTCAATAATGACCAACCATAGTGACATATAACTTCTAGTAATTCTATTGATGATAATACACTGGCACCAAGATAGAATCCAATTTGACCACCGACAGTACCTGTAGTAACGAAAATATTTGTATACCTAATGCCTAAAATATATCATAAAATAGAACCGACGATAGAATACAATATGAAACCCAAGACTATCTATAGTTTATTTTTAAATATTCTGTTTTATTTCTCTGAAGACTATCTATCTGAGAAAATCATATAAGTTCAAACATGCTGCTTGGCTATTTCGATGATAGTCAATGTATTGGAACTAAGTAGGCCTAAGAAGCATCAAAACTCAAAAGATTACATACCTAATGTTGTTTCAATGGTATGCTTAGCTTCATGTTGTACATTAACTACATGCATTGTTTTGAAATAAATGTTAAATTTTAGCAGATTTTCTCTGAAAAAAAACATTCTTTCACTTAATAATTTTTTTTTGTAGAAAATGGAATTTAAAAAGTATTTTCGTAATTGCTGAACTCTGGTGTTTATCCAGTTGTTTAACTTGATTTTCACCATACGATTTAAAATTATCAGACACTGATTGGTGGAACAATCGACAACAATCATCTAGATCACAGAAAGCAAAGCAATGTGACCAAATTTGTTGTTTTAACCGTTCATTCAAGACATGCTTTCGTCATGGAATATGATATATATTTATATATAATACATCTAACCTGGCATATGATAAATTTTCAATATATTCTCTTTGATACAACTGGTTACTAACGGGATTACTAGGAAACAAGGTATAAGATATATCAGTTCTAAACTGTGCAATAACACACTGGTCTGAACACTGGGTACATAGTTGTCGTTTTTCAACTTTTTGAAAAGATGATTCTGAAAATTATATTACGGAGAGCCATAACATATCAAGGAGTGTATTGGCGACTGGCTTTTCACAACAAACAGAAACTGCGATGTCCTTCCGTCCAGCTCGATAAAGGTTCTCATTGTTAACGAGGACTTTTGACTAATAGGAATGTGATATGCCGATACCATGTGCTAGTTATATTCTGTAAATTAATTATACAAGGGTGTTGTCGAGGTTAACTAGATGATGGTTTCACTTACTTAATGTGGTTTGAACACACTTGAAACTATCACTAAAATCTGGATCGCATGTTCCTTGTATGTCTACTGTAATAATAATAATTAAATGTATACTAATACGATAACAAACACAAGAAGTTAGTAGGTTTACAGGGAAATAATGATTGTAATATTATAATGCTGAAGCTAGAAATAAAGTTAAAATGAATTGAGTTAATTGAATTTGAAGGGTGTACATAAAGGGTGTATTTAAATGTGAAAGATGTCTTCGTAATTAAAAGAAATATCCTATTTTCACAATGGGAACGAACGCCATTCGGTGTGCAATGAATTGTTTTGGAATTGTCAACTGTCAAGGCATAATACACATGTTCAGCCTTTTCAACGCTAACCAGAAATAATAAATTGAACATACCTTTTAAAAAACAGGGACATTTTACTTCAATAATGTTATCAATGCATTGTCGAACGCATTTTGATCTGCTGTATGAAGGATCACCATTACAATATCGTCCACCAATACCTTTATATGGTCTTGGTAAGTATGTTATCTGTAGAATCAATGTGCCAGATGAAGAGATTTATAATTGAAAAAAGATAAATTAGTTAAACTATTGGTAAAGTGGCGACAGACTAGTGCAGTATAAAATGAGATAACAGAACTGGATTGCTATTCGAACTATTGGAGATTCATTCTGTGCCAGTTAACTTACTTAACCTGAGGATACCACAACTTGGCGATCGAACCTATGGTCTCTATGGTTTAGCAAGCAAACACCAATCTGACAGTTCGAGACTAATAAGTTTTTTTTTGGAAAGTGTAGAAACCCTGAAATCTATACAAATTTTACCAATGATTTAGTTAAGGCTATATTTGCTGATACACCGGGTGATAACAAAATATAAGATGATTCCGAGAATTCTTCGTCTTCATATATATAAACCTGAATAGAATATAGACATTAATCGATAAAAAATACTTAATGAACGTAAATTCTTCCAAAAAGTATATGTTGGGAGCTTATAACGAGGGTTTACTACTTCTGTCCGAATAGAAAAACCTTTTTTATGTAATGGAATTCGAAATCCAGATGAAAGAATATTGATTCGATATCTGTGAAGATTCAATATTTCTAGAATATATATCGTGTAACATAGTTACACAGTCTGAAAGTTTCTCCTATATAGCTTGCATGTTGATAAAACATGAAAATGAGATGGCATTATGTTTACAAAATATCTTACCTGTAAACCACCCGTATCATATAAACCTGCAGGACAATTACTTTGACGAGAATCAGCTATTATTTCTAATCCTGCAGCCATTCCCTCATATACTGTGCGAAATTTCTGAGAATTTGCATGATTTGTAAATCCATTAAATTGAAAACATATGTTATTATTTACAGCTACTCTTTTAAAATAACGGGCAATGTCTAGATCTTGACTGTTCCATCTAACTTGTAAAAATACATCATCCATTATGATAGAAGAGTTTTTCAAAAGATCAATAAGATATTGTCTTTCCATAGTGGAATTTTCACTTATATTTCCTTTAAGTAGTAACCAATCACTGTTCACAAGGAATGAGTCTTGTATCTGTTGGTTGAGATCTATATTTGATAGGAATATTGAACAAAGAGTACAGATGGTTATAGTTGGAAATTTTATATATGGTTTCGTTTCGTATTTATTTACTGTTTTAACTTCATACGAATAAACTGACTTCAAACCAACGAGAAGTAACCCTAACCACACACAAAAGGAGGAAATCACAAGCAAGGTCCACAGCCCCCTAAAATAATTAAAATCATGTATTTAAACAAATAACAAAATCTAGACACTAAAACACATATTTTCGCTTTGAGTCTGTGATATGCAGAAAGGGAAAGATTTTAATTATTTCGCGTCAATTAAAGATGGTTGAAAGAAAAATCAAGTAGACTCAATGCTGTATCCATCATTTTTATATTTCATAATCAAGACCTGTAAAGCATCTCTAAAACTAAAGCGCAATTGTTAAGATAAAATGATTAATAATTATTATATGCCGTTTTTTTTTTGTAATTCTACGAACTAACGCGAACTAGAAAACAATTTACCTCCTGAATTTGTCCTCCTTTTTAATTCTGTTACACCCATGAATGGTTGCATCATCCAAAAAATCATACATCGCAATAGATTTCATGTCTGTCTTTCCAGTGATCTCGTGTTCATACCATTATTCTGACTAAAATTAAAAACATATTACTGTTTGGTTTCAGACTAGAATCTATACGAATTAAATGTAAGTATTGTGAAATAATTTGTAATAATCGATAAAGAGTTGGTTATTAATTTGATCAGATAAATCTAATATCAACACGACTGTATGAGATTACATGCAATGCTTAAAAATGTAGCTACAAACTAAACGTAATAATAAAGTGTTTTTCTTTTCGACAAAAACTAATGGTATCAAAGTTTGCGCAGAATACAAACTACATTACTACAACATAATGAGTTTAAAATTAGGCCATACAATCATATTTCATCTAGGTGGATTTCCTTTAAAGGTTCGGGCACACGAGCTGTCTTGGTCGGAGACTTTTGTCGCCGATTAGAGTCTTGTCTTGAGTTTCAACGACTAGCACGAGCTCGCTAGGAGACAAAAATCTCCTGTCGGTCTTTTGCCTCGTTGTCGCCAATCACAAAGTGAGTCTTGATTGGATGATGATGGCCTGTCATGCACACAATAAAACTATCAAAGACAATTATCAAACTTGATTGGTATTATAAATCCTGTCGGTGACACGATAATCTTGTCGTGGAAGCACGGGCACACGCGAGATTTTTACTCCAGATTCCAGTTGGCAAAAAAAAATCTCCGACCTGCAAGACCGCTCGTGTACCCGCACCTTGAGGAACAACACACAAGCAACACGTAATATTTACCTGTCTGGTGCGCTTAACATCCAGTACCGTTCTGTATTTTCAACTTCCTGGGCTTGGCATAAGTACCTTGTATAAGCAATCTGGTATTTAAAATTCTATATATTAATACCCGTTAATGTACAAATGTTTAGATTCGTCGACAGTTTTTCAATAGAGATTAAAAGCTTTTTATTTGTATAAAGATAATGCTTCATTGTAATCAATGCCGATTGTGAGAATTCATTTGCAAGAATTATTTTTAAACATTTAAATCTCGCTGCTATTCGATCGAGAATATTCATTAAATTGTGTTTAGTACATATAAAATTTTGAAGAGTGACCTAATGATATCTCGATCTGGTTATCAAGTAAATATAGGTCCTTCCTGGTTTTTGTGAACAGTAATCCTTATACGTTATTCTTATGAGACATTACATCTTAGATGGGTTGGTTTGGATTGAGATATGTATCAGAGAATAAGACAAAATTCGCCACAATCGAACATGCAAAAAATATCCTGTAGATATCGTAGCATCCGGCACTGCTATGTTGTGCAATTAAATAGAATCTGAAGGTTATATTGAAACACAAAAACTGCAAACCATGCAGTAAAAAAAAAAATAGTGGTTTCAGTCAAAACGTGGAATGTTCTTCTTTTCGAAATTTAAGCTTGATTAATTTTGACAACTTTTGGTTAAGAATTGGATTTCAATCTAAATAAATCAGAAGAAAAGTTATTAGCAGGAGGGTTGTACATGCGGACATGATAATTTTCGGCTCGCCTTGTGAAATTTGCTTTCGGCGAAATTTTAGAAAATGTTATAGCATGCAGAACAAAATAAATGGTTATTCTGTAGAGTTGAAGGGAGATAACACTGAAGGGATGGGATAACTTTCAGTCCAATTAATCAAAGATTGATATTGGACCACCATCACTTAAATAACATCCATAGCAAACTGAAGCTCATAAGTACATAACTAACATCTGGCGATATCCTTGAAAAAACATTGAAGACCTACTAAAAACTATTCAGCTGGCTACGATGAACCAGATAACCCATATTTCTGAATGATGGATCTGTTCCACCCGAGACTTGTATGTTTGGGTGGATCTAGGACTTCCTTCCCGGAAAACTAAAACAGGAAAGTGCATATTCTATATAAGGAATAATGGCTAAGTAGTGGTTATAAAAGTGTTGTTCTACAGCACGTCCAGCACATAATAATGATGTTTGAATATTAGTTTCATATTGATCCACTTCCTATTTGAGTCTAAAATAACTCTTTTCTGGCATATTCATATCCATAAGTCAAATTACCTTGTCCTTTTAATAGTTTTCAAAATGTCACATTACGCGTGTCCACAACAAGGTTTCAAAGCTCAGTCATCATAAACAATATATACATGTAGTGAATTTCCATTATCTAGAAGTTTTTGTTTGTAATTCTTTTACACATCAGCACGATTCCGGTCCTTGGCTTTGATATTTATTTTATTCGTGATGAAAACAATGAACTAGGAAAGAAATGGAAGAAATAGGATCAAAGAAGGGCAGGTTAAGTATTGCTATTTATGGTTTAATGAGAAGTTCATTAACCAATAGAGCTGTCACCCTCCTAGTTTGTAGATGCTCAGGGCTAAATAATGACCGTGCTAACCCGTCTTCCCGCTATCTTTAGTTAAGTACCTTTCAAGTGAAATTTCAAATCAAATTCAATACAGTTATACGTTTTACGGAATTCTATAATTGGGTGTTTTTTTAAGATGTATGAAACCACGTATAATCTTATAGATACTTCTTCCGAACCAAGAGAGTTAAAACCCTCCGAATTTTAAACCGGATTTTCCCTGATCAGTAATACATGCAGAAAGGCTGGAAAAGACAATTGTTTAAAATTTCAGATAAAATAATAAAACCGATTAATTGTTTTCATTTCATTCCAAATTTCAAAGTGGATTATTTACGCCTACTATATTTTTTGTGATGTCTATAATTATTATTGCACCTATTTCAAATCAACTATTATTGTTTACAAAACAATGTGCAGATCATTAATAGCTGGTTTAAATATTAGTATGAAGCAACGGAGACGTGTAAAGCTTCAGAGTCCACTCAGTTTTCCCTCGTATCAAACGGAACAATTATCAATGCACATTTTCCATTGTGACATCTTGAAAATAAAAAATTTACTTCACTTTTACACATTTTCATTCACAATGAGAAACTCGATGACAACGTCAATACATCTGTTGTTGTTTTCAATCTCAATGGATAATGATCGTCTTATTAAAATAAATATGGTTGAATGCTTCCTGTTTAAAGTGAGGTAAAATTTTACTTGAGGCGCCTGATACTGTCAGTTTCAAACAAACACCTCTTATTACAGATCATTCAGTTCCTGTTGACAATCTTTACCAGAAGCTTAAAAAAATCATTAAATAACATCAAAGGTATTAGACAATTGTATGACTGATTCAGATTGAAACCTAGTTAAGGTGACCCAGCATCCCATAATAAGTAGAGAAACGGTACGATATTACCACAATTATATTAATTTCAGGTGATGTTTATATGAACGATCACTATTACAACGCGTACATATCCTACTGTTTATATTCAGGACAGACCTCGTTCGCAAATTATAATTTCTAGGCTGACTGGAATAATAGATCGTTCACAGGGAGATAACGGCAAAGTCTACACGAAACAATTAGGGAAATTATACCGATTCTTGATCTCGATTCTTCGATGTTTAATGTAGGTTATTATCCGATACACCTCTGCGTTCTGTAATACACCTACACATTTCTGATACGCCTCCTCTTTATCTGATTTACCCAAAAAGGGGTGGGGTCCAATACAACAGTTCGCCGAGGGGATTTTCACTCAGAGTCTGTGTAGCAGCACAGATCATTTTTTCACTATGTAAAATGATAAAATATTTGAAACGCCATTGCAGAAGACTCGTGGTTCTAATCACGGTTTTTCTACTGTAAGCAGCAATCAAACATTTTCTGCTGCTACAATCATCATGGAAATTTTTTCTAGATGGATAGAAATGTAAGTAAGGCTCAATTTCCACCATATCTGCTGTATATTTAGCTTCATTACGCCGACGTTTTCGAGAATATAAGTAAGAAAAATGAATGAAATATATATATAGCCGTAGGTAAACCGAAAATACCACAAACTTTTCATACTTATTGCTTCTATTCCATTAAGCTTTCTTTCATATTATCTAGCCGATTCAACTATATTTGATACAGATTTCAAAGAGAAAGATTTCTTAATGAATCATTTCATGTTGACTTTGTAAATGATCTAAAGGATTTCCAAATGCAGTCTCGCGACAATCTGAATCAAGTCGGAGATATATTAAAATTTTAACTCACACAACCATTGCAATAATAATAATACTTACTTGAAGTTGCGTCCTACTCACGAATGACCCGTGTATTTTATGTGTAGTATTAAGCAGCAATAGTGTTGTTCCAGGCAGAGTATACTTACTCTTCTCATTACTTGGTGGCATTATGAAGTGTGTCTTCATGAATGCGGGTGTAAGAAACTTTCTTATCTTATTTGTGATCAGTTCCCTCCCTTGAACTATTGAATTTTTATTAAATATGTTACATCCCTTGAACTTCTCAAAAGTCATCAGTCAAGTCACTATTTTTTAGTCATATTTTCCTCTTTGTCATGGTTGTTGTGTATGTCTAGCAGTTATGACGAGTGACGCCAGACAGGTATGTCTCTTCTTGATACTTGATGTCCATTGTCATTATGGAATGCTTACTTACTAGATATAAATGAACTTCGTGATGTTCATTACTAATGTTTCCCCAAAATGTTATTTGGATTTCGTATGATGTTCGGATCGTTAGTAATAGGTTTATTTATTGTCCATATCAGTAAACGATTAATCCAGATATATGAATGATGGTATCACTACACTCGTATTAAATTTTAATCATTCGTAAAAATTTAACATATCAACACCAAGAAACTGTAATTGGTCAGATTAATTGACATTGAAAGAATTAAGGAAGGACAGGGTTATTATTTTCACGAGAAAGTTGAAATTATGTTGCTGTCAAAAGTAAATAAATTCATAGGTTTTTTTGTCGCGCTTTCCTATTTAACCTGAGGTTAATGAATATCTGCATACCACCACCAGCCAGTTATATATTCTAGCCTATTTGACACTTAGCAATCTAGCACAAGGGTGAACAATTAAAAAAGGAAAATATTCACAGATATTCATCGTCTGTGA